GATGGATGGCGTATGTCTAGGTTTACTGTAATTGGAAAGAGCCTAACAAGCTTTTGCTACTTTGGCAGTAATGTTTGGAGTTGGAGGGGGCCAATTACTCAGCCATTAAGAATGCAGCGGAACATATTATCTCTCCTTGGTCTATAAATAGCAGTAAATAGAAAAGAAAAAAACTGACGTCCTGCATTTGTGTTGTGCTTTTGGTGAATCTAAGTGCACTCTCCCTGTTTCCCCCCCAAGATTAGAGGAGAAAACAAGTAAATGGGTTTTATTGGAAGTGTGGAGTGGGTTGGTTGCAGTCTGATTTGGGTATGGCTATAGCTGAATACATGGGTTTTGCCGGAAACCGCAGGAGGGGAGAGTGTTCTTGTGCTTAGGCCCAATTGACCACTGTGAGAACAGGATCCTGGACTAAATTGCCTGCTGGCCTGATCCACCACACTCTTTTTACGTCGAAATATATATAAAAATTAAAAAATTCTCCAGTAGCACCTTAGAGACCAACTAAGTTTGTTCTGGGTATAAGCTTTTGTGCACGCACACAAAAGCTTATACCCAGAACAAACTTAGGTAAAGGTAAAGGGACCCCTGACCATTAGGTCCAGTCGTGTCCGACTCTGGGGTTGCGGCGCTCATCTCGCTTTACTGGCCAAGGGAGCCGGCGTACAGCTTCCGGGCCATGTGGCCAGCATGACTAAGCCGCTTCTGGCGAACCAGAGCAGCGCACGGAAACGCCATTTACCTTCCCGCCGGAGCGGTACCTATTCATCTACTTGCACTTTGACGTGCTTTCGAACTGCTAGGTTGGCAAGAGCAGGGACTGAGCAACGGGAGCTCACCCCGTTACAGCAAGTCCTAGGCTCCGTGGTTTAACCCACAGCGCCACCTGCGTCCCTAGAACAAACTTAGTTGGTCTCTAAGGTGCTACTGGACAATTTTTTAATTTTTTTATATATTTCAACTGTGTCAGACCAACACGGCTACCTTCCTGACTCATCTTATGTCTTAGGGAAATGCTAAAGGAGAGAAAGAGACAGTGCTTTGTGACTCCTGGTCTCATATTCTGGAGCTCAAACAAAGCCATTAGTTAGGGTCCAGCTCGATTTCCTCATTAAAATATTTGCACACCGTCTCTCATACGGTAAGCGTCGTTTACACATCATGAAAAGCAAAACAAAACCCATCTGCAATAAGAAGCACCAAAAGTTGTTTGTTACAATGCAGGGAAACAAGAAATAAACTGTTAGAAATAATAATAATAAAGTAAAACAGCAGAGCAGATGATAACAGTCAACACGCCATTAAGCAACGTTTAAAAATGGTTCTGATAAATTGTACCAGTAATTAAAAACCACCCCTGCAGCCAGTATGCCATGCTGGGGGAAAAGTGAATAGTGGTTCCAAAGTTTTGAAGATGGGTGTCTACACCTCTTAGGGAAGATTTGTGGTGAGCTGGGACATCACTGGTGCTCCCTCAAGAATTCTGAAGCGTTCAATGGAAATTCCCTTTTGTTCTGGAGAGGAACCAAGCTCTCCCCCTCTCCCTGGGTTATGAAACAAAATGAAAACAAATAATAGAGCCATTATTCTGAGGACAAAAGCTTTTGCTACTCTTTGGCACTTGCTGGAAGTAAATAGATGGGCCGCGGACAAAGAGATACAATGAAGTTTCCTTCTGTGTAATATTAAGCAAGCTGCTTCATGTGTTTTCTATTTAAAAAAAGCTCATTGGAGTGTGGTTTGCGTCGTTTAATTTGTACACGGTGAGTTTTGCTGCAAGTTCTGGAAGCTCTTTTGGCGTTACGTTGGCCATAAATGCTTCTTTAAACCTATGGTGGCAAGGCTGGGCATTTCATCGCATCCAAATGAGGCATTTTGGGATCCTGGGATCACTGTCAGAAACTCAGATATAAAAGCTAGGTGCCAAATGGCTCTTTAAACCAGGGTCACAGTCACTAAAACAGAATGCCTAGTTGCGATTTTGGGGCCAGGTGGCTTGAAAGTTGTATTTTTCAATGTGACTTTTTAGTCCTTGCAATTCATTATGATTGCATAGATTAAATAGAATGACCAGAATGTGTTGCTTTTCAAGATCCAATAATTCCCAGGCAGGCACCTCCAGATGGTGGAGACGATGGGTAGGCAAACTAAGGCCCGGGGTCCAGATCTGACTCCCAATCGGGGTCCAGATCCGACCAACAACCTCCAGGGACCCAAAGTTGAGAAAGGCTGGCCTCTGGAGCACGGTTTTCAACTGAGGGTTTCTGATGCACCTATCCAGGTGATGAAAGTTTGGAAGGTGGTGAAAGTTTGGAAGCAGGCATATTTCCTTGCCCCCGAATGGGCTGCAGAGCTACAGGGGGCTGGGGAAATGGGGCTCAGTGGTTTTATGCCTATAGGGCAGGGGGAAAACCTTATTTCATATAAATCAGGTGAGCAGTACAGCGGTACCTCGGGTTACAGACGCTTCAGGTTACAGACGCTTCAGGTTACAGCAGTGTTTCCCAACCGGTGTTCCGCGGCACACCAGTGTGCCGTGAGACCTTGCCTGGTGTGCCGTGGGAGGGAGGCGGGAGAGGCGGGGCGGCGGGGCGCCCGAGATCGCTTCTCCCACCGCCCCTTGCTTCAAAAGAGGTCCGGGGACAGCGGGAAGCGCTTCGCGCTGCCCCCGGACCTCTTTTGAAGCAAGGGGCTGCGGGGAGATCGCTTCTCCCGGTGCTCCGAAGCGGGGCGGGGGGCGGGAACCTGCAGCGCGGAGCGCGGGGCGCCCTTTGGAGGACGCCCCGTGCTTCGCGCAGCTGTCCGCAAGCCTTGGGCGCCTGGGGGAACTCCCCCCCGGCGCGCAAGGCTTGCGGGCGGCAGCCTGCAGCGCGGAGCGCGGGGCGCCCTTTGGAAGACGCCCCGTGCTTCGCGCAGCTGTCCGCAAGCCTTGGGCGCCTGGGGGAACTCCCCCCCGGCGCGCAAGGCTTGCGGGCGGCAGCCTGCAGCGCGGAGCGCGGGGCGCCCTTTGGAGGACGCCCCGTGCTTCGCGCAGCTGTCCGCAAGCCTTGGGCGCCTGGGGGAACTCCCCCCCGGCGCGCAAGGCTTGCGGGCGGCAGCCTGCAGCGCGGAGCGCGGGGCGCCCTTTGGAGGACGCCCCGTGCTTCGCGCAGCTGTCCGCAAGCCTTGGGCGCCTGGGGGAACTCCCCCCCCGGCGCGCAAGGCTTGCGGACGGCAGCCTGCAGCGCGGAGCGCGGGGCGCCCTTTGGAGGACGCCCCGTGCTTCGCGCAGCTGTCCGCAAGCCTTGGGCGCCTGGGGAACTCCCCCCCGGCGCGCAAGGCTTGCGGGCGGCAGCCTGCAGCGCGGAGCGCGGGGCGCCCTTTGGAGGACGCCCCGTGCTTCGCGCAGCTGTCCGCAAGCCTTGGGCGCCTGGGGGAACTCCCCCCCGCGTGCACGGCTTGCGGGCGGCAGCCAGCAGCGCGGAGCACGGGGGCGCCCTCCGTAGGAGGCTGCGGAGGGTGGCGCGGAGCTGCCCGCGCTCCAGGGCTTCTTGCAGCTCCGCGCCACCCCCCCCCATCCCGGCGCAAAGCCGCGCGGGGCTGCGGAGGGTGGTGCGAAGCTGCCTGCGCTCCAGGGCTTCTTGCAGCTCCGCGCCACCCCCCGGATCCCAGCGCGAAGCCGCACGGGGCTCTGGAGGGTAGTGCAGAGCTGCCTGCATCCCGAAGCCTGGTGCGCGCTGAAGAGCGCCCCCGGGCTTCACGCACCTCTCCGCAAGCCTGGGGAGACCAGTGTGGCTCCCTAGGCTTGCGGATATCAGGCTGTTCTGGGGGCTGGGGTCGGGGGAAGCTTGGGTTTCCCCCGCGCCTGCCCCGTGCCTGGGGAGGGGAAAATTTTTTTTTCTTTATTCTCCCCCCAAAAAATTAGGTGCGTCTTATGGGGCGGTGCGTCCTATGGGGCGAAAAATATGGTAGTCAATATAGGCACAGAGTTAAATTTTTTAACATTTTCTAATGGTGGTGTGCCTCGAGATTTTTTTCATGAAACAAGTGTGCCTTTGCCCAAAAAAGGTTGGGAAACACTGCAGGTTACAGACTATCCTAACCCAGAAATAGTACCTCGGGTTAAGAACTTTGCTTCAGGATGAGAACAGAAATTGCGTGGCGGCGGCGCAGCAGCAGCGAGAGGCTCCATTAGCTAATGTGGTACCTCAGGTTAAGAACAGTTTCAGGTTAAGAACGGACCTCCAGAACGAATTAAGTTCTTAACCTGAGGTACCACTGTATTTGCTGAGCTATAAGCAGAACAGACCTTATCAGAGAAGTAAACTTGTTGCATGTGCTTTCCATAATTTTCTTTTTTTTTAATGAAATGTTTATTAAGCTTTTTTAGAATAATACAGTAAAAATGAAAAAGAAAATAGAAAAATACAAAATAAAAACAGTTAAAAACACACATATTTTCTGTTACTTATTTTCCTTTAACTTATTTCCCGGACCTCCTCATACCTCCCTTTTTTGTATTCCGCTTCAATTTATTGGTTCAGCAAATCCTTACCATTAGATTTTAACCCATTTATAACCCTTTTTTCATATTCTCTTAGAGCATTACAGCTGGAAACCCCTTAATTGCTATCCAACATCATTCTATCATTCATTAATTTTACAATATTTCTGTAGATAGTCTTTAAATTTCTTCCAATCTTCTTCCACCGACTCTTCTCCCTGGTCTCGGATTCTGCCAGTCATTTCTGCCAATTCCATATAGTCCATGTGCTTTCCATAATTTTCGCAGGATTGCCAAATTTAGGTCTCTCTCTCTCTCTCTCTCTCTCTCTCTCTGTGGGTGGAACTTTAATTTGAGTATTTACAGCCTCAGCAGTGGCCTTTTGCATTGAGAAGATCATGTTTGGATCATGGAGCAGAGTGTGGCAGGAGAGAATGGAGGGGCACTTCACCGCTTGTACTCACTGTGTATATCTTTTTGTTTTGTCTCTTCCTCTTCTCTTCCCGCTCCTCAAAAGGGATGTGAAAGCTGGAAACATCCTCCTAGGAGAAGATGGCTCGGTCCAGATTGCAGGTGAACCTTTTTATTATTATCATCATTATAATTACCATTGTTGTTATTATTTGCCGTGTAGCTTGCTCTCGGCTTCCATGCCAGAGAGAGGACCCTGAGGACAACCATCTTTCAATATCACATGGAAGAGGGAACAAGCTTGTTTTCTCTTGCTCTGGAGGGCAGGACACGAACCAATGGCTTAAAGTTACAAAAAAGGAGATTCCAACTAAACATCAGGAATAACTTTCTGGCAGTAAGAGCAGTTAGATGGTGGAACAGTCTCCCGTGGGAGGTTGTGGACTCTCCTTCCTTGGAGATTTTTAAGCAGAGGTTGGATGGCCATCTGTCATGGATGCTTTAGCTGAGATTCCTGCATTGCAGGGGGTTGGACTAGATGACTCTCGGGGTCCCTTCCAACTCTTAACTTGTAGCTCCACTATAATTAATTCGTTGTTAATCACCTTCCACGTGTCTCCCAATGCGATGTACAAAATATAATAAGAGCAGCTTAAAAACCCTTGGGGTCCCTTCCAGCTCTATGATTCTATGACCCTGAAGACCGTGGCATGGGGAGGAAGGGGGAAACAATGTGCCATAGGTGTCTGGTTCTCCCTCCAACACGGGGAGTCAGTGGTGTATGTGTACACATCATGCCCAACCCTAAAGGGCATTGCATAAGCCCTTCCCACCCCAAGAGTTGGTTGTGAAGGGTGGGTGTGGAGCAGCTTTGTTAGGGTGAACCAGGGGTGTGGAGCCTCCAGACCTGGAGTCTGAATGTGGCCCTCCATCCCCTCTATCTGGCCCTTTTGAAGTCTCCCCAGGCTGGGCCCCACACAGGCTGTGCTTCACACCTCAAATCTTTTCCCCGGCTGGAATGTGTCCTTGACACCTGGCTTGAGAGCAGTACATGTGAAAAGGATCTAGGAGTCTTGGTTGACCACAAACTTGACATGAGCCAGCAGTGTGACGCGGCAGCTAAAAAAGCCAATGCAATTCTGGGCTGCATCAATAGGAGTATAGCATCTAGATCAAGGGAAGTAATAGTGCCACTGTATTCTGCTCTGGTCAGACCTCACCTGGAGTACTGTGTCCAGTTCTGGGCACCACAGTTCAAGAAGGACACTGACAAACTGGAACGTGTCCAGAGGAGGGCAACCAAAATGGTCAAAGGCCTGGAAACGATGCCTTATGAGGAACGGCTAAGGGAGCTGGGCATGTTTAGCCTGGAGAAGAGGAGGTTAAGGGGTGATATGATAGCCATGTTCAAATATATAAAAGGATGTCATATAGAGGAGGGAGAAAGGTTGTTTTCTGCTGCTCCAGAGAAGCGGACACGGAGCAATGGATCCAAACTACAAGAAAGAAGATTCCACCTAAACATTAGGAAGAACTTCCTGACAGTAAGAGCTGTTTGACAGTGGAATTTGCTGCCAAGGAGTGTGGTGGAGTCTCCTTCTTTGGAGGTCTTTAAGCAGAGGCTTGACAACCATATGTCAGGAGTGCTCTGATGGTGTTTCCTGCTTGGCAGGGGGTTGGACTCGATGGCCCTTGTGGTCTATTCCAACTCTTTGATTCTATGAACTTCAGTAATGCCCCTTACTCTCCTGGATGAATGGTACAGAGAGGTGTGTTGAGTGTATCTAGAAACTAGCCTACCGTGTAAGGGTTTGCTGCTCCACCCACTTTCCCCATAACCCTGCCCACCACTGGGATGTGACCCCCGGAAGGCTCCACGGGAGGGAGTGTGGCCCTTGGACTGAAAATGTTTTCCCACTCTTGCTGTGCCGTCACACCCTCGAACTGCAAAATCTGAAGTGGCTTGCTTGCTGTCCGATTCTGCTGTTGTCTAGGAAGCCTTGTCGAGAGCAGTTTGGGTCCGCCCGGTTTTGTCAGAGGAAGACCCTCGCTGCCAGCCTTCCCTTGCTCTGTCTACGCTGCCTGTGGAAGATGTCTCCCTCCTCAGGTCCCCCTTTGCTCACCTCGTCTGGCAAGAGTTTTCTTTGTGTTCTTGCCAGTAAACATTGGCTTGGAAGACAAGATAGTGAGGCAAGGAGAAGAGAAATAAAAAAGGAGCCAGTCCAAAAACTTTCTTACGTTGCCTGGTTTCCAGTGTTGAGAAGGCTCCTGTCATTGCAGGGATTTTGGGGGGTGGGTATGAACCAGGGCTTTGTCTCGCACCTCTTTGATCCCCCAATCTATGGACCTTCTGTGGTTTATTACAACAGAGCTCTTTCAAGGATTCTTCTGAATGGGGGCGTTTTGCTCCGCCCGCCTTTTATCTGCAGAGGTTTATCAATTTACACTTAGTGGGCACTGGCTGCAGTATAAATTAAGGCTGCCTGCCTCTTTGTTTCATCCTCTTCCAGAATCACTTAGCCGTGTGAGATCATCTCAATATCAAAATGATTGTACAAGCAACTAGATTTGCCTTTTAAGCAACCTCCTGAATCCTTAATGATGCTTTGACCGGAAATCTATTGCCTATGCCCTAGAAGGGTCTTTGTGTTGAGAGTTAATAACCCTGTCCTTACCCGCGTCCTTTGATAATCTTATCTAAAACAGTCATGTGCCCCATTCATGTTGTATTTGGATAAAGGCGGAACCTACTGAAGGGTCTGTTTGTGTTGGATTAAACAGCTGTGCGAGTGCCACAATAGAGCTTAAGCTCAGAAAAGCCACAGAATTGAGTCCTGATTATTTTTCTCCTTTTCTCCCCCATTTTTTTTATTTATTTATTTACATTTCATGGCTGCAAAGATAATGTATGTCAGCAGTAAAAAAAAAAGTAAAGAGTATAGACATTTGTTCATACTGGATGCAAAATTCATTTAGCACGAATTGTGTTTCTGTCTGAATACACAAAACTATGGAACTAAGTATAGTTATAGGCTTGTTCACACAAAGGGCAGGTGAGGGGGTTAGTGTAGGATTATGGAATCATAGAATTGGAGGATTGGAAGGGACCCCAAGGGTCATCTAGTCTGACCCCCTGCAATGGAGGAATCTCAGCTGAAGCATCAATGATAGATAGCCATCCAACCTCTGCAGACCTCCAGAGGTTGTTAGGGCTCCAACTCCCATCATCCCAGCAAACATAGCCAATAAACAGGGGTGATGAGGCAACCTCTGGAGGGCCAGATGTTCCCCATTCCTATTTTAGAGCATCCTTCAGTTTAAAGATGTGAATGTGGCAGGCATCATACTGCATGTGTCTCTGCAGAGGATTTAAACACAACCTTTGGGTTTTCCAAAGTTACTGTTTGTGATGGGACATTTTAATTCAGAGCGAAGCCTCTTGGCTACATATGTGGGAGTCTAAAGGAGTGGTAGACTGAAGATAGGTTAGCTGTAGAACGTAGAATGTAGCCGTAGAACGTAAGCTAAGCTCTCCTTCATGGGGCAATGGACTCTGGTCTGCAACTTGATTTCCCATCCCTTGGCAAAATGCTTAGGGCACAGATGATAAGATGCTGGTATCTTGCTACTGCCTTTGAGACCCACAGCCTGTGAATTCCCATTGACTATCATGGTTGAAAGACATCTGTGGATCCCCAGAAATAAAGAATGTGCAAGACTCCACTACTGGCAGGCCCTCCAAGAGAGGCTACATAAACGTAGAAGGCTGCCTTGTGCAAAGACGGCACCAGGCAACTTCAACAGAAAAAAAGCATCCGACTATGTAAAATATGACTTCTACTCTTGGAACTGCCCAGTCTTCTACAGATTGAGTTTCTTCAGCTCTTTTCCAAGGATATATTGCTTTTGCAACAGATTTTCCTTCTCGGTGGCAATTCAAAAGCCAGTATACCCAAGGTAAGGATGGGAATGTCTGCTTCCTGAAACCCTGGAGAGGTATAGCCTGTCAGTGTAGATGGCCCTGATCTGGATGGGCCAATAGTCTGACTCTGTGTAAGTTAGCTCTCTTTGTTCCTGTGAGTTACTGGATTGACAAGCTGTCTCAGGACGAACAGTTTTAAATTGTATGTTTCCTCCCTCTGGAATAAAAGTTGATTACTTGTGCTGTCAAAGTGATCTTACGTTTAGACAGTTTAAATGTGCAAATATTAGGAAACTCTTCTGCATTGAAGACATCCCTGTAAATGCAAGTGAGCTAATTATTTCCTATAAAAAGACTTCTTGCATAATACTTAATTGAGGGGGGATTCTCTGCAAAGCATCGACTTCTCCCCTTGACAGTTTTGCATGTAGCACCCACAACAGCAAATCCGTTCATTGTGGTGAGACGTCTGCTAAACGACAAGAACTTTGTATGGTAGATTTGGGAGTGGGCATCTAGAGAGCTGAGGAGCTGCAAATGTCGCTGGTGAACCTCTGCCGTTTTCCTTTTTTTTTTTTAACATTACAATGATGGGCTTCTTGTGGGTGATATTGTGATCTATACTATTGTATCTCCAAACACGGAAGGCTGAAGTTCTCCTGGGGGAGTGAACAGAAATGTGGAACCCCAATTAGGGATTCCCAATGTAGTGTGTTAGGGACGCAGGTGGCGCTGTGGGTTAAACCACAGAGCCTAGGCTTGCCAATCAGAAGGTCGGCGGTTCAAATCCCCGCGACGGGGTGAGCTCCCATTGCTTGGTCCCTGCTCCTGCCAACCTAGCAGTTCGAAAGCACACCAAGTGCAAGTAGATAAATAGGTACCGCTCCTGGCGGGAAGGTAAACGCCGTTTCCGTGCGCTGCTCTGGTTCGCCAGAAGCGGCTTAGTCATGCTGGCCACATGACCCGGAAGCTGTACGCCGGCTCCCTCGGCCAATAAAGCGAGATGAGTGCCGCAATCCCAGAGTCATCTGTGACTGGACCTAATGGTCAGGGGTCCCTTTACCTTTACCTTAATGTAGTGTGTTAGTTTTTAGCGGCTCAGGCAGAACTTGGCCTAAATCAGAGAGAGAATCTGCCTAGCGAGGTCAAGGGGAAAGGCCTGACTCTGGCCACCTGCTTTTCCATGCACGCAGGAAGTCCCCGCATCGCCAGCCGGGGCTGAGAGGACCCACTTCCTGGGTTACACCCTCTCCTTTGCGGCTGAAGGTGACACCGCAGTATTCTGCCGCATTTCCCCTTGGTTTGGAAATACTTTGTAAAACTTGCCCTCTCTTTCATCCTGCAACTGGCTGTAAAGATGTATGACAGGATAATTAGTATGCTGCAGTTGTGATGTGTGGCTGCTTAACATGCATGCATTCCATGCAAGGCAGATTTGTCTCGGAACAAGATATCTGACTCCTCCCCCTCTCTTTGTTCTTAGAAACAATAGAAGCTTCATAAATCTGTGCGTAATCAGAGGAGCAACAGTGCAGAAATCTTGTGACTGGATGATGTGGGGTTTCTGGGGTGACACTAAGGGGTGGGCTCTCAGGGTCTGTAGGGTCCTGGCATTATTGCTAGGGCTGCTGGTACTATGTGCCCCAAACTCAAGTTTTAACATCCTACTTTCACCGAGTAAAAGCGTTGAATTTTTGCCACCTCTGCAAACATGCAAGCTCGCAAACTTCCCCCCTACTGCTTCTGATAGGGATTTAGGAATTATGAGATGGGGGCTGCAGCAAAATGTTGCAGTGCGAAGTGCTCCCGGTTCAGGATTCCAGCTGCTCTGTTCTGATTTCTGCCCCCCTCACCCCAACCATTCAGTCATCATTACCTGAATGGGGTAACTGTGCCCCTGAAGGACCAGGTGCGCAGCCTGGGAGTCATTTTGGACTCACAGTTGTCCATGGAGGCGCAGGTCAATTCTGTATCCAGGGCAGCTGTTTATCAGCTCCATCTGGTACGCAGGCTGAGACCCTACCTGCCCGCAGACTGTCTCGCCAGAGTGGTGCATGCTCTAGTTATCTCTCGCTTGGACTACTGCAATGCGCTCTATGTGGGGCTACCTTTGAAGGTGACCCGGAAACTACAACTAATCCAGAATGCGGCAGCTAGACTGGTGACTGGGAGCGGCTGCCGAGACCATATAACACCGGTCTTGAAAGACCTACATTGGCTCCAAGTATGTTTCCGAGCACAATTCAAAGTGTTGGTGCTGACCTTTAAAGCCCTAAACGGCCTCAGTCCTGTATATGTAAGACAGAGTTGTTCCGCCTGGCCTTTGGCTTGGAGCCAATTTGATTCCCTCCCTCCCTCTCTTTCTTTTTTCTTTTCCTTCTCCTGCGAGGAGGCTACATTTTAATATTTTAATGTTTCAATATTTTAATGTTGTATTTTAATTTTGTTTTTAAGTTGTAATCATTCAACTTGTTTTTATTATTGCTTGTAAGCCGCTCTGAGCCCGGCCTTGGCTGGGGAGGGCAGGGTATAAATAAAAATTATTATTATTATTATTATTATTATTATTATTATTATTATTATACCTGAAGGAGCATCTCCACCCCCATCGTTCAGCCCGGACACTGAGATCCAGCGCCAATGGCCTTCTGGTGGTTCCCTCGCTGCGAGAAGTGAGGTTACAGGGAACCAGACAGAGGGCCTTCTCGGTAGTGGCGCCCACCCTGTGGAACACCTTCCCTTCAGATGTGAAGGAAATAAGCAGCTATCCTATCTTTAAAAGACATCTGAAGGCAGCCCTGTTTAGGGAAGTTTTTAAATATCTAATGCTGTACTGTTTTCAGCACTTGATTGGGAGCCGCCCAGAGTGGCTGGGGAAGCCCAGCCAGATGGTCAGGGTATAAATAAATAAATAATAATAATATAATAATAATAATAATAATTATTATTATTATTATTATTATTATTTCATACTCATTAGGCTGCTTTGTGGAGCTCCAAGTATGTTTTTGTACTTCTGAAGATCTTGGCTTTCCCAACCCCCAAAGCCTGTTGATGCCTCCTTTGTGCGGATTAGTGTGTGGTGAGTGTTTTTGCGCGCACACTATTACGTAAGCAGCGGCACGCATGGAATTGTAGCATTGGAAGGGACCCCCAGGGGTCATCCAGTCTAACCCCCTGAAATGCAGGCATCTCAACTAAAGCATCCATGGCAGATGGCCATCCAACCTCTGTTTAAACCCCTCTAGTGAAGAAGAGTTCACTCAGCAACTTATTAGAATCAGTGGAAATGCTCTGGCATACTTGCATTCCAGTTGTTCATTGGGTGAGGCAAGTAGCTGTGCTGGGTGCTGAAATCCAGTCCCTGTCCACTGGAAAGCATTTACAGCAAGCCCTTCAGCTCTTGATAATTCATTCAGGCATTGTCAGTATATTTCCAATCCTGTCTCCAGAATCATAAGGTATGGAAACCTTTTTTTTTTTTCCTTTTTAAAAACAAAACCTTTGTTGACAAAGCTGAATTCTCCTGAACTCACAAATGGTGGGTTTCCCTCCATCTCACACTGGCAAGGCACCTACACCACACAATGTAAGGATTTGCCACTCTTGTGTTTTTTCTTGCAACTGATAATGATTTGCATGGCCTGATCCAGTAAGGGTTCTTCTCAAGTTCTTGACATCTGATATGTTTTAAAATGCTTGCTTGGTTCACAGATCTTGGCCACCTTAAAATTGGTAAAAGTGCATCCTTCCTGTCTCCTAAATCTGTTGGTGGCTTGTTCGTGCTCTGATGGTGTTTCCTGCTTGGCAGGGGGTTGGACTCGATGGCCCTTGTGGTCTATTCCAAATCTATGATTCTATGATTCTATGCTATGGTACTTCTTTAGCTGGGTGCCCGTTCATTGAAAGAGGTTGTTTGTTTGTTTGTTTGTTTGTCTGTTTGTTTTGGCTTCCTGCGTCTTTATCATAGGTGTGCAAGTCGCCACGTTTCACTTCAGACCAGAGTACTGCCTGAGAGCAGATAGCAATACTATGCGGCTAAAGCAAAGACATGAATTTGTTCCCTGGCCCAGCCACGCTTGGCTTGACAAACTTAACAACTGGGTACAACTTCTCAGCACTTGTGATTTTCTTCTGCCCCATTCACAGATCAAGCAGAGTGACGGCTGGGAAGCACGCAGTGCACATGGCCAAAGGGTGCCGTGTGTCATTCAGAAACTCCTCCTTAAAACGTAATTCTTTTTCAACATTTCAGATTTTGGTGTTAGTGCTTTTTTGGCCACTGGCGGCGACATCACCCGCAACAAAGTGAGGAAAACCTTCGTGGGCACCCCTTGCTGGATGGCACCTGAAGTCATGGAGCAGGTAGGGAAGAAAAGGGAAAAGCCTTGTTCAGAATGATTGACCTGCAACTTCTGCTTAAGGACTTTTGGCAGACAAGTGGATAACTCAGTTGGCTGGAGCGTGGTGTTGAAAACGCCAAGGTTGCAGGTTCGGTCCCCATATGGGGCAACTGTATGTTCCTGCATTGTAGGGGGTCGAACGAGATCAGTGTTTCCCAAACTTGGGTCTCCAGATGCTTTTGGACTACAGTTCCCATCATCCCTGACCACTGGTCTTGCTAGCTAGGAGAATAAAGGAAATAAAGATGATAAAGTGCATACAATACGTTTCCAAGCACAGTTCAAAGTGTTGGTGCTGACCTTTAAAGCCCTTAAACGGCCTCGGTCCAGTATACCTGAAGGAGCATCTCCACCTCCGTCATTCTGCCCAGACACTGAGGTCCAGCGCTGAGGGCCTTCTGGTGGTTCCCTCTCTGCAAGAAGCAAAGTTACAGGTAACCAGGCAGAGGGCCTTCTTGGTAGTAGCGCCTGCCCTGTAGAACACCCTCCCATCAGATGTCAAAGAAATTAACAACTATCCGACTTTTAGAAGGCAGCCCTGTTTAGGGAAGTTTTTAATATCTGATGAATTATTGTATTTTAGTGTTTTGTTGGAAGCTGCCCAGAGTGGCTGGGAAAACCCATCCAGATGGGTGGGGTATAAATAATAAATTATTATTATTATACGAAGCTCATTGAAGGTGCTGCATTAATATTTCTTCAGAAGAATCTGGGATCGTTTCTCTATATTTGGGGCAGTTCTCTCTCTCCCCCCCATCCCCCGCCTGCCCGTTCCAGCTGCATAGTACAATATGAAGCCACCACTCTTTTAGTGAAAGAAATAGCTTTTTCCTTCCAGAGCAACACTAAGTTAGTGAAGCAACACACTCCTATGGCATTTGCAAAGATGTCAATTTTTCGATGAGTCCAGGGGCAGTTAATCCCTCCCGTTTGGCCAAAACTCTTGAAGTGTAGAGAATACGCAGTGCCTTTTCTCTGCCATTGGGAGAGAAACTCAGTGTTCTGGATAAGATGCCTGGCAATAACTCATTGCCAGAAAAGAAATGGCTTTCTTGGGATATGGATTATCTCTGCTTGGTGATAGCAGAGCAGAGCTTCTAGGTATGATTCCAATCTACTGTTAGCATGGAGTTGGATCAGTTTTGTGACCGAGAATGCAGGAAAAGCCTGGAGGCCTATGTAGGTTAACTGGAAAGAAATGCCCTGTTAACCGTCTCTTCACTTTCTAGGTGAGAGGTTATGATTTCAAGGCGGACATCTGGAGTTTTGGAATCACGGCAATCGAGTTCGCGACAGGGGCAGCTCCTTACCACAAATACCCACCCATGAAGGTGAGTCACTGATTGACTAGTTCAAATAACTGTGTTGGTTCCTAGGAATCACCTGTGTTCCCCACCCCCCAAAAACCCCAGCATCCTAGAAGGTGCTGCTTCTGGAAGTAAGCGATAACCCGAAGGGGTGGCAGTGGGGAGAGCTTCGGAAGCCTGGGTTTTGTCAATGAGGAAGGAAGTTGGCAAGCACTGTATTATCAGAGTGCAGAGCCAGCGTCACTGCATACATACGTTGGAACTGTGCTTTACCAAGAGAAAACCCCAAGGTTTCCCAGAAACTAATCTGGGGTCCCTCAGTGAGAAGATTTGTGATGGTGGGTCAAATTCCTGAAAAAATTGCCTGCCTGCTGCTGATCTTCTCTTCTTGAAAGATCTACATTGGCTCCCAGTATGTTTCCGAGCACAATTCAAAGTGTTGGTGCTGACCTTTAAAGCCCTAAACGGCCTCGGCCCAGTATACCTGTGGAGCGTCTCCACCCACATCCTTCTGCCCGGACACTGAGGTCCAGCACTGAGGGCCTTCCGGCGGTTCCCTCACTGCGAGAAGCCAAGTTACAGGGAACCAGGCAGAGGGCCTTCTCGGTGGTGGCGCCTGCCCTGTGGAATGCCCTCCCACCAGATGTCAAGGAAATAAACAACTATCTGACTTTTAGAAGACATCTGAAGGCAGCCCTCTTTAGGGAACAGAGCACTGTATTTTAATACTTTGTTGGGAGCCGCCCAGAGTGGCTGGGGAAACCCAGCCAGATGGGCCCGGGTATAAATAAATTATCATCATTATTATCATTATCACTTGCTTTTGAGACAGCAGCTCAACCCTTCTGAATCTACTCTCCATGCCAAGCAAGCCCTTGATTTCTCACTGGATTTCCGTTTAGACTCTTCCGCAACCCCTCCCTCTTTCCTTTACTTGAAACCTTCCTTCTTTTATCCAGCATCTCCAAATGGCCCCTCCCAGGCTGCATCTAGAATTCTTGCCTCAATAATTAATGCAACCATTAATATTTCAATTTATACGCTGCTTTTTGACCTTCAGGAAACCCTTAAAGCAGCGAGTTTGAGGAACGATACAGCCCTATTCACAATTAAGAGAAAACTATAAAATCAAACAATTCAAAAGCAGGAGGTGACCTAGCTTTTACGCCAAAAGTATGCAGTAGTCCTCAAACCCTCGAACAACTGAGGCTTTTGACCAAACTAAGAAGGCAAAACAAAGTGGACTACAGTAATGTTAGCAGGTAAAGGTAAAGGTACCCCTGCCCGTACGGGCCAGTCTTGACAGACTCTAGGGTTGTGCGCCCATCTCACTCTAGAGGCCGGGGGCCAGCGCTGTCTGGAGACACTTCCGGGTCACGTGGCTAGCGTGACAAAGCTGCATCTGGCGAGCCAGCGCAGCACACGGAACGCCGTTTACCTTCCCACTGGTAAGCAGTCCCTATTTATCTACTTGCACCCGGGGGTGCTTTCGAACTGCTAGGTTGGCAGGCGCTGGGACCGAGCAACGGGAGCGTACCCCGCCGCGGGGATTCGAACCGCCGACCTTTCGATCGGCAAGCCCTAGGCACTGAGGCTTTTACCCACAGCGCCACCCGCGTCCCTAATGTTAGCAGGAGCACCCCCTAATTCCATCACTGATGTCTGATGTTGTGGTTTCACCTGGCTGAACTGGTTTCCCCCATTTTCCCCATCCTTTGTTTTTCCCCTGTGTCTTTTTTTTCTTTCCAAAAGCATAATTCCTATAAAAAAGCGGGGGGGGGGAGAGATTTAATCCCAAACATGTGTTCATCTAATTGCATCTTATTTTTAAGTTGCCGGGCATTTTGAGCTGGGACCTTCTCTTTTTGGAAACTACCGGATAGACGTTTTGGGTGCTAAATTGTAAATTAAGGAAGTCATTCCTGCTACTCACTCCAGTGTTCAGAGTCAGATGCTGGAGCTGAGGAGGGCAGTTGCTTTCAAGCCTCCCTGGAGATTTTCCAGAATAACCTCTCAGTGGTTTGGGAATTAGGATGCTGAACTAGACATCACCCCAGTAGAATCCAGCAAGTCTTTTTTTATATATATAATGTACCTATTGTTCTTCCACAACCTTTCACTTACCTTGTTTGTCTGCTGAAGGCTATAAGCTACTTGCCACCTTCCTTTTGCTCAAAGAGGCCATGGCATCTTTTTCAAAGTGACAGCGCCTGCTTAATGAACTTCAGGTTTGTCTTGGTTCTTCTAACGGGTGCAATTGTTTCAGGTCTTAATGTTGACGCTACAGAACGATCCGCCCTCGCTGGAGACAGGTGTGCAGGATAAGGAGATGCTGAAGAAGTATGGAAAGTCTTTTAGGAAGATGATTTCACTGTGCTTGCAGAAAGACCCCGAGAAAAGGTGCGCGGCAAACCGTCTTGTTTCCACCCATTGTGAACCAGCATTGCTTGATGAAAGCTTATTGTGAGAGTGGGAGACAGAGTACAGTGGTACCTCGGGTTAAGTACTTAATTCGTTCCGGAGGTCCGTTCTTAACCTGAAACTGTTCTTAACCTGAAGCACCACTTTAGCTAATAGGGACTCCCACTGCTGCTGCGCCGCCGGAGCACGATTTCTGTTCTCATCATGAAGCAAAGTTCTTAACCCGAGGTACTATTTCTGGGTTAGTGGAGTCTGTAACCTGAAGCGTATGTAACCCGAGGTACCACTGTAATGCAAAGAATGCAGAAAAGCCATTTTCTACACTACTTCTAATTTTTAATGCACATTTTTCTTCTTACTTTTAATTCGGCCACTGCAGACTTGTTCATGGTCAGTAGGTTCCAGTTACATACCCATCCCCTTAGCAAAGCTCGCTGAGTCCAGATCTTAGGAGCTTCTGTTAATATTGTCAACATCTGAACTAAGATATACACATTGGAAGGAAACAGCAGTCTCTGCCATAATCCAATTTGGCCTCTTCTATCAGAGATGGCGCCCAGCTCTTTAAAGATTCCTGCAATCTTGTTTTGGTGCAGCAAGAAAAAGCAACTCTTGCGACGTCTTCTAATGACACCCTCCTTTTCATTTCTTTTTAATAGACCAACAGCTGCTGAACTTCTAAGGCACAAATTTTTCCAGAAAGCAAAGGTAGGAACTTAGCTTGACCTTTTAAATAAATGAACAAATCATCAATAAATAATATATTTGAAGAGAGGAACAGTTTACTGGTGTGCAGGTAATAAGAGCTCATTGCAGCAGAGATTCCTCCCTGGTTTTATTCACCAGTGGAATTTTGTCTGCCTTAAGATCTTCCGGGACTCACTGCTGAGTTGTGGCCTGATCTAAAGTGGGTCAAACCAGCAGCACTAGCACCATAAAAATAAATTGGGGGATGGGAGAAATGGGACCCCAAATGAATGTTTAAGATAAGTTTGAAATGTTGAAGACATTGTCAGAATGCCTTGATTATGAAACTACTGAGCTGGAATCTGTTGGCAAATCTCGCTGAGTTTCTTTTGGCTTTGATTGAGACTTAACACTCAAGGCAGTTTACACTTATTCAAAATGAAGTAACCCAAATGGGAATATCAAAACAGTTACCAGGTCTGTTCCTGTACAACATAGAAAAATGTATGAAGTCAACAGTGCAGAATTTAGAAATGGGGGAAGTATTTTCACCTGAAGGCTAGTAATGTTGTGAGGCAGAATGGGCTACCTTGGAAATTGTGGTGTCGGGGCAGAGAAGATCTTGGCCCAGGCCTCACGAGGTTTTGCTTCACATACAGAAGCAAGCATTCTCCCACAGTTTGCGAAGAGCTAGGACAGGGGTCAGCAACCTTTTTCAGCCGTGGGCCAGTCCACCGTTCCTCAGACCATGTGGTGGGCTGGACTTTTTTTGGGGGGGGGGAGGATGAATGAATTCCTATGCCCCACAAATAACCCAGAGGTGCATTTTAAATAAAAGCACACATTCTACTCATGTTAAAACGCCAGGCAGGCCCCACAAATAACCCAGAGATGCATATTAAATGGACACATTCTACTCATGTAAAAACATGCTGATTCTTGGACTGTCTGTGGGCCGGATTGAGAAGGCGATTGGGCTGCATCCGGCCCCCGGGCCTTAGTTTGCCTACTCCTGAGCTAGGAGGTTTATGTCAGAGCAAATGTTCCTGCAGACAAGACACAATGAGCTCAGGGATTTTAAGGCAGAGGGAGGCCTGAAGTCTCCTGGCAGCTGTGTATGGATTTTGTGGTGAAGTTGAAACCTTGATGCACTCTCCTCTCCGCAACCATCCCAGGATAATTCTAAGGAGTGTGGCACGGACTACTCTTAGGAAGAATCTAACGTGTTGGCTTTCCAACACTTGTATCAAAGGACCCTCTTGTTCCCTTTCAAGTAACTCGAGAGCTTATCTCTCTCACACACACATAAGCGATGATGCTTGAGCCAAACGGTGGCCTTTGAGGAACAGGAGTCGCAAAGCGTCGATTTGATTCCCCTCCTTTTCTTTTCCAGAATAAAGAATTTTTGCAAGAAAAAATGCTGCAGAGAGCCCCAACCATCACGGAAAGAGCCAAAAAGGTACTAGTTAAAACAGTTTGAAGTGGGAATCCGCAAACCGCGCTTCTTAAATTTTCCATTGACCAGCTCTCTGGTTGCACTAGAAGGACCATGCTTAGAATTCTCTGTATGAAATTCTGTCGGTGACTTTAATGGTGGCTTTGTTGAAATACAGGTCCGAAGAGTCCCTGGCTCCAGCGGGCGCCTCCATAAGACGGAAGATGGCGACTGGGAGTGGAGCGACGATGAGCTCGACGAAGAGAGCGAAGAGGGCAAAGCGGCAATTTCACAGCTCAGGGTGGGCACCAAGAGTCACCGTTTGCCTCTTAAAATTAGCCCCGGAATTGAAAGACAGTCTCTGTTGCGAAAGCTGTTTTAAGGGTGCATTTAATGCATTGATGGGATTGCAAGAGGGTTTCTCAGTAAAAAATACAAATACCGTATCTTTCGCTCTAAAAGACGCACAAGACCACAAGATGCACCTAGTTTTTGGAGAAGGAAAACAAGGAAAAAAATATTCTGAATCTCAGAAGCCAGAACAGCAAGAGGGATCCCTGCGCAGTGAAAGCAGCAATCCCTCTTGCTGTTCTGGCTTCTGGGATAGCTGCGCAGCCTGCATTCGCTCCATAAGACGCACACACATTTCCCCTTACTTTTTAGGAGGGAAAAAGTGAGTCTTATAGAGCAAAAAATACGGCAAATAAAAATTATTTATTTATTTGGGTTTTTCAACTTAAAATTTTACAGAGGTATATCATACATAAATCATAAAAAACAAGGAATCTCCATATTTCCCATCAGTCCTGACCGTTCGGCACACTGGCTGTGGCTATCAGAAGATGAACTTGGGCAACATATAGGGAGACGCATGCCACCTCTCTTAAGGACAGGAGAATCTCTCTCTTTTGAAAGAGCGCTTCTCTGCTGCCATTTAAGTCTTCATAGCCATTGCCAATGCTTTGCAGGAGAAAGACTGTTGAGTAAGCATTTCGAACAGAATGAACTCCTGTTATTTATTAAAAACAAATGGTAAACCATTTTGACACCCCTGCTGCAACACCCTCACCAGCTTAAGACCTCTGAGCTCCTCTGTTTCAAAGATCTCCTGGGATCTAAGAATTACTGCCCGCAGTTAGACTTGGAACACATTAAAATGAAATTGTGCCAAAAGCTGCCGTTTTCACCGTGTTTCAAGGGCACGACATCCGGTGTGGCTTTGCATGCTAATTGCGCTTGTCTGTTTCTTCCCCTTTTAGTCGCCCAGAGTGAAAGAATCATCACAAAATTCCGAGGTGAGTTATTAACCAGTCATGCATCTTGAAGCACCGGCCTGTCTTCTGTTTTGAGAAGTGCCAAATTCATCATATGCGCACAAATAATAGTAACAATTAAGGTAATGTTTTAGCTCTCTGTTAACAGAGCGCTGACCTACAGACTGACTTCTGCTGGCTTAAAAAGTGGGGCGGCAGCGCTTCAGGACAATAAAATAAGTGTTGCTAGCTTGAAGCAATTGCCAGGCAGCATTTTATATACAAAGATACACGCAACGTGCGATTTTTGCAAACAAATCTCGACTTTTAAGTAATGGAACGATAACTGCTGAAGCCAGTTAAAATATTGTCATTTTTAAATTATGGTTCATAACAAAATCCAGAGCATGTTCTGAAGGTTCATGGAAAGCCACCAGCTTGTGGAAGCTGAAGCAGGTCTGGGTGTAGGTGCCTGGATGTGGGAGTGCCAAAGAACCACACCGCCTTGGGTTCCGTGACAGAGGAATGGTGGGGTGTGAATGTAAGACAGTAATAAATTGCGGCACTTAATCCCACTGGCAAGCGCTCAGGGTGGGGGAGTGTGGCACAATGGGCTGGCGAATGTATTTTCCCCTTCCAATGGGAGGACGGAAATCCCTTCTGGAAAAAAGGGGAAAGGCTCCTGAGAGCCAGTGTGGCGTAGTGGTTAAGAGCGGTAGATTCGTAATCTGGTGAACTGGGTTCGATTCCCTGCTCCTCCACATGCAGCTGCTGGGTGACCTTGGGCTAGTCACACTTCTCTGAAGTCTCTCAGCCTCACTCACCTCACAGAGTGTTTGTTGTGGGGGAGGAAGGGAAAAGGAGATTGTTAGCCGCTTTGAGACTCCTTTGGGTAGTGATAAAGCGGGATATCAAATCCAAACAGGGAGGCGAGGAAGATGGAAGCATCTTCTGCCCTGTAGGCATAAGCCCAAGAGGGCTGTGGATTTGGCCAGTATTGCATACCAATGCATTAAATGTAGGAATATATGAATTGCTATAAGCAGCAATGAGTTGATACATAAACAGCAAGGACTCGTAAAGAAACTTTAAATCACTTGTTCCTTGGGCTGGCAGTGTTCAAGCATTTTGGAATAATAATTGAGTTACCTTTGCTTCATTCGGTCACAAATTTGTAGCTGGTTTTTACCTTCATTGTGTTGAATTTATTTAATTTTATTTGTTATTGTGTTGAATTTATTTAATTTTATTTATTTATTGAATTTATACCCCACCTTTCTCTCCAAAGAACTCAAAGGCAGCATACGGGGTTTTCCTCATTCAATCCCCACAACAACAACCTTGTGAGGTGGGCTAGGCTGACAGGCAGTGGCCCAGTGAGCCCCATGGCCATATGGGGACTCGAACCCTGGTCTCTGAGGTCCTAGTCTGACACTCTAACCACTACACCACCACTGGCTCTTATTTACTTAGATACTTCCTTACACAGTGCTCTTAGTTACTTGTTCACCGCTTAGGGACAATTGTAATTAGGCGGTAAAAGAAATTGCCTGAATAAGTCAACAAACAAGCAGCTCGTCGTTGGGCCACCCTCGTTCTCCCATACCCATCTCCTGCCCTTTCTGACTTGCAGCTCTTTCCGCCAGCGGAGCAGCCGGCAAGCCCTTTGCTCAACGTCCCGGCCCAGCCGCCTCAACTACCTCAGCCTGCAGGACAAGCACCCGCACAAACTTCTCCCGCTGTCCCTGCTCCAACTTCTCAGGCACCTGCAGCAGGAGCTCCTCCACCTGCGCAGGTAAGACCCACCAGAAGCGGAAATAGTTCGTTTTTTGCATTTATACCCCACTTTTTCCTCTAAGGAGCTTGAGGCCACACACAGAGCTCTCTTCCTTCGCAGTGTATCCCCACAACAACCCTGTGCGGTAGGCTAGGCTGAGAGGCAGTGGCTGGTGGCCCAAGGTCACTGGCCCAGGGAGCTTCCTGGACAAGTGGGAATTTGAAGCCTTGTCTCCCAGGTCCTACTTTGGCACTCTAACCCATGGGTAGGCAAACTAAGGCCTGACGGTCGGATCTGGCCCAATTGCCTTCTAAATCTGGCCCGCAGATGGTCCAGGAATCAGCGCGTTTTTACATGAGTAGAATGTGTCCTTTTATTTAAAATGCATCTCTGGGTTATTTGTGGGGCATAGGTAAAGGTAAAGGTATCCCTGACCATTAGGTCCAGTCGTGGCCGACTCTGGGGTTGCGGCGCTCACCTCGCTTTATTGGCCAAGGGAGCCGGTGTACAGCTTCTGGGTCATCTGGCCAGCATGACGAAGCCGCTTCTGGCAAACCAGAGCAGCGCACGGAAACGCCGTTTACCTTCCCACCGGAGCAGTACCTATTGATCTACTTGTACTTTGACATGCTTTTGAACTGCTAGGTTGGCAGGAGCAGGGACCGAGCAACGGGAGCTCACCCCGTCGCAGGGATTCGAACCGCCGACCTTCTGATCAGCAAGTCCTAGGCTCTGTAGTTTAACCCACAGCGCCACAAATGCGTTAATATTTTTTTTTTTCAAAATATAGTCCGGCCCCCCACAAGGTATGAGAGACAGTGGACCGGCCCCCTGCTGAAAAAGTTTGCTGACCCCTGAGTCACTAAACCACACCGTAGGATCAGTGGGGAAAGGGGTTAAGCAGCTGCTGGCCTTGCAGCCTTCCCCATACTGCTTTGGCTATAAAACAAGTACATTCTCTCTGGCGAAGAGGCCGTAAATTGCAAAGTTCCTGGCCGAAATGTCCCTTCAGCCACGAGCAAAGTAGCTGGTCTAGCCGTCCCTCCCCCCCCCTCTAGTCTCCCAGTCCGTGAGACAGGATCGAGAGCAGCTGGTCTACCCTATAGGGCTGCTTGGAGAGACGGAGCCTTTAGGACCTTTCTGCTGCAAAAACCATCGCCACCCCAATGTCCTCTGCTTTTCAGGCGACGGAGTGTTTTAATGCAAGCCCTGCCTTTTGCAGAGGGTGTGGAACTCAGCGGAGGAGCAGCCAATGAGATGGCTTTCCTCACCCAGGGCGAACTCCTGCCAAAACCAGCCCGTTCTGGAGCGTGTCCCACAGCTTGCGGGTGCTCTGGAGGCAGTCGGACAGCGATTGCTCATGTATTATAGCAAATAGCTGTCCTTGGAGCCGGGGTGAGGCCTGCAAGGCTGGACGGGTGGGGGAAGCTTCCTCACCCCGTGATCCTAATCGGCCTGCTGGGAATGGTCCGGTGGTGATTTGTGGCCAGAGCAACACTCGAGGGCTTCAGCGTTTTTCCTAGAAGCGTTTTCATGGGTTTTTGGGAAGGAGGCTATATATAAACCCCTCTGCGCTCACAGGGCTCCTGTTCTCTCCCTGACAGCCCATTAATCTTGGGGAGACAAACCTTGGCGCCCTGTGTTCCTGGATTCCAGCTGGCTGAAATTAAATAGGACGGACTTGGCTTAGGGTCTGCAGATGTTCTCTGTGTGAGCAGGCCCAGCAATTAAACGCTTGAGGGAGCCCCCGGCCTCCGCTTTGAAACAATCCCTCAATGTGCGTGGTTGTGCTTTTCGGCCACTTCCCAGCAGCTGGAAGGTACGGCAGCTGTGGCTTCACTGACGTCAAGGGAGCGCGATGTGGCTCCCCAGCGCAGGATTTCAGGGAATCTCTTAATCTCATCCCCATTGTGATCTAGGCAGCCATTTGTGGGCTGCGTCTCACCCGTGCCCTATCTTCTTCTACCCCCCCCCCAGCTCCATTTATGGCTCCTGTATATCAAGGAACCACTTCTAAGCTTGTAGGTACCTCTCCTCTTGTGGAACTAGGCTGGGGCAGTTGTTGTGGGACCACCCTGGGAGATCTTGAGGCATAGGAAGTTGCTTTATACCAGCTCAAAGTGTTTGTCCACTTGGCCTGCGCATTTAACTGCTCTGACTGGGTGGCAGTTGGAGCCAACAACGTCTGGAAGGCCATTTGTTCTCCATCCCTGAACTAAATCAGCTGTTAAGCGAAGAGGGCGCTGATGCAATACCAAGCGCTTCAGACCTATGTTGAAATGAATAGAGTTGGCAGGTGCCTGAAAGTCTGAATACCCACATCTCCTTGCAAACAGGGGCAGCCACCCATCAGCCCCTGCCCCAGTGTACAAAGCTGAACATACTCAATCCATATTAGAATATAGCACCTGCAGTAAGTATGTGCTCTGCGGAAAGTCTTGCTTACTCATTGTGATTTTATTTTCCTTGGTGGGGAAAGGATTTTTGTGCTGCTGCTTCTTTTTAAGAAGACTGTCTTGCTCTGGGTTGGATCAATGCTGTGCCGGATTTCTCTGTGCTTTAGTTCCTGAGAGAGCTGCAAACCATTGTGTGGAAAAATGGTTTAATAAAGGAAGAAACATTAAAAAAAATAAAAACAGGTTCCTTCGGAGCAAATGATTAAAACAAACAAGTGAAGCCATGTACTGCAATAAGATGCCAAAATAATAAGTAGTCATAAATTAACCCCATTGGATCAGTAGCCAGTTTGACTCGGGGCACAAGAGGCCTGTGTTTTGGGAAGGGGCAGGGAGAGAGATCTGCCTTACGGAATATTGTTTGAGCTATTGCCAATTGTGAAACACTGAAGAAAATTCATCCAGCGAGTCGTCCCAAGGGAGTTTTTTTAAATCAGTTCCATCTCTGTGTCACCACATTTGTTTGCTCTCTGCCTCTCCAAAATTGTCTCATTTGCTGCCTGATCGTCTTACAATGCTTTTGTGTGTTTTTTTAAAAACACAAAACACACATTGTTTTTTTTTAAAAAAAACACAAATTTATTTATTTTTTAAAAAGTCGACCCTTCCTCTTCCCCCCCCCCAAAAGGCACCTCCTGCAACAGCCCCAGCGCAAGAGGAAATGAAAGTCCCCATCAGCCTCGTTCTAAGGTTAAGGTAAGCATGTTCTTGCTTAAATCACCCGGCTCTTGTTCGACTCCCACCCTTGACAGGAGAGGCTTTTTGGGTGGGGTTTCCAAGATGGCAGCCTCCCTACGTTGTTGCACTGCAACTCCCATCAGTCCCAACTAGCATTGTTGCTGGTTCAGGTTTGATGGGGAATTAGAGTTCATCAGCATCTTTCAAAGGCACCATGACATCCACCCTTGCTCTTTCTGTGGTCCACTGGGTGGGGCTTGACTTAGCCCCAAGGAGAGGTTGGGTTCAGATCTCATGAACTTCCCATGGCCATGTATGCCCTAAATTCTCCTCGCCTGTAAGTATATCATTGCTGTTAATATTTTCAATCTTGGGAGCTTTTCAGCACCCCACTCTAGGAAACGGCCTTAATAGCTGGGAACTCTTTCTTGGAGCACAATATTTCTTTTTCAAGATTTCACATCAAGAAAATCCAATTACCGTATTTTTTGCTCTATAGGACGCACTTTCCCCCCTCCAAAAATGAAGGGGAAATGGGTGTGCGTCCTATGGAGCGAATGCAGGCTCCTTGGCTTCAGCGATAGCAACGCGAAGCCTCCAAAGTGCAGAGGGAGCGCTCCCTCCGCACTCCGGAGGCTTCGCATTGCTTTCACTGAAGCCTGGAGAGCGAGAGGGGTCGGTGCGCACCGACCCCTCTCGCTCTCCAGGCTTCAGGGATAGCTGCCTGAAGCCTTTGGAGTGCAGCGTGAGTTCCCGCTGCGTTCTGGAGGCTTCAGGTTCCTTTTGCTGAAGTCGGGAGAGCCTTGCTTCAGCAGAGAGGGAGAGCTGCGCAGCGCCCCTTCAGCCAAGTGGGAGGAGAAATGGAAGGGGCTCCGTTTCTCCTGCCGCTCCACTGAAGGGGCGCTGAGCAGAGAGGGGGAGATTTTTTTTTCTTGTTCTCCCCCTCTAAAACAAGGTGCGTCCTATAGAGCGAAAAATATGGTAAATTGGTAAGACTCTTTGGCTGAGGCTTAATTTTTGCATCAGAAAAGCACACAGTTCATTAAAGTAACTATACACAGAGAACCGAGGCGCCTGTCAACAGGCAGTGCCAACTGATGAACCCAGTAATAGAACAACGTGGTCACGTACTTAAAGATGTGTCAAAGGCTTGAATGTATTTCGACCTCACGACTTCTGTGGGAAACGATGCGGTTTAAAAACAAAACCACACCGTGGGGATGGTGGAAAAGTCGATTCAGTTTTGCATTTTTAAGCCAGCTGTGACCGGATTTGCACCACCCAGACTAATACACAAGATCGGAACGTAAATATCCTTTTGGATTCTGTGCTTCTTCGAATTTTGCAATAACAGCCCTTTGCTCAAAAACTGTACTGAAATGTGTATAGAAATACAAAACACGTATTCTAGACTAAATACTGTTAGGAATGTGTTTATTAAGGAAATATCTTACAGTTTTGTTTTTTTTGTTTTTTAAAAAATCAAATTAATGTAGAAATGGGATGGAACAGACTTCTGAAAGAACACATGGAGAATTGACATGGGCTGCAAACAGACGGTCTATGCATAGCCACACCTGCAGCCCAAAGAGTATAAATCCTTGTAATGTTTGTAGTGCTTAAAAAATGTATGGAAATATGTTAATTGTTCAGACCGCTCAAAAGTAACCCTTAGAACATTTCATACTGAAATAGGTAATACTATCTAGAATAGGTTTCTGCTTCTTGTGCATGCCTGCGCCAAGGCCCATTCCATCCATGTGCTGAACACATTAATGAAAAGTGCTCAGGCCCCATAATGTATTTGCTCTAACATTAAGGACTTCAGCTAAAGAGCATATGCTCTCAGGTATATGATTCGCTAACAAATATTTGCATTTACGTGTGACGTGAAAAATCCGAAAGAGATGTAAAGCTGCATTGTGGATTATCTCTTTACACAAAGTAAAAACGTCCTTCTTCACAAACAAAACTGTGGGCAGACCTCCTTTTTATCGTGCTTGGCTATAATTTGGCTAGGGCCAGATAAAATGTGCTTGGGAGCTGCAATCCAGGCTTTTCGTTCACTGTCCTTGCTTTCGTCTACAGAGTAAACAAAATAAATGGCTTTGTGTTTCATCTCTCTTCTCTTCCCCTCAACAGGAATTCAAAGAAAGAACTCAACGACATTCGATTCGAGTTCACCCCTGGGAGAGGTGAGACATGGGTACGGGAAGGAGAAACGTGCTGGAAGTTATTGAGTAATCTTGGGTGCAGAATGTTCTGGGTTGAATCTCCAGCATCGCCAAGCAGGAAAGATCCCTCACTCTGAAACCAAGGAGATCCAGTGGCAGCCAGAATAGCCCGTATGAACTAGACACGGCCTCCCTTGGTATAAGGCGACTTCCTTTGTTGCAGCTGCAGACATGCTGCGGATGTTCCACCTGCATGGTTTTCTGTTTATATTATGGTAGTTGCTTAGAAGGACACGGGTGGTGCTGTGGGTTAAACCACAGAGCCTAGGACTTGCCGATCAGAAGGTCGGCGGTTCGAATCCCCGCGATGGGGTGAGCTCCCGTTGTTCAGTCCCTGCTCCTGCCAACCTAGCAGTTTGAAAGCACGTCAAAGTGCAAGTAGATAAATAGGTACCGCTCCAGCGGGAAGGTAAATGGCGTTTCCATGCGCTGCTCTGGTTGCCAGAAGCGGCTTAGTCATGCTGGCCACATAACCTGGAAGCTGTACACTGGCTCCCTCGGCCAATAAAGCGAGATGAGCGCCGCAACCCCCGAGTCGGCCATGACTGGACCTAATGGCCGGAGCGGTACCTATTTATCTACTTGCACTTTGATGTGCTTTCGAACTGCTAGGTTGGCGGGAGCTGGGACCGAGCAACGGGAGCTCACCCCGTTGCGGGGATTCGAACCGCCAACCTTCCGATTGGCAAGTCCTAGGCTCAGTGGTTGGGCTTAATCAGAGTTGGGGTTCAGACTCCTCTGAGCACACACAGAGCACTTTTCCTTCCCAAATGAGAAATCCCAGCTCGATCCTATTAGTCTGGGATTAGGTAGGGTTGGATCCTTAGAAGCTCTGTTTTCAATTAAAGAAATTATTCTTTCCCACCTCTCTGCGTACAATCCATTCGAGGCATTTTAAGTAAAATATAGTGCAGAACGATGCATAATATAAAACCAATCTAAAAAGAAGAAGAAAAGGGCAAATGCCTGCAAATTGTGAACTCTGAATTTGTTTTAAACCACTTGTGTGCAGATGTGATGGTCTCTTAATTACGATCTTTCCAGATACTGCGGATGGGGTATCCCAAGAACTCATCTCGGCTGGGCTTGTCGATGGCAGAGACTTAGTAATAGGTAATAGTGCGCATTTCATGTTCACCTTAATCCCATACTGGATTTGTAGATACAAGTTGCTGTATTTCTTCCCAGGACAGGGAGGGGGAAATTCCTTCATTGTTAACTAGGACGTCTTTTTCCAATATTTTAGGGAAGCTTGTTCAGAATGAAAATGCTTAAGTGCTCCATCTTTGAGTGTGTCCACCCTCTGTCGTTTCAGTTGCTGCCAACTTACAAAAAATTGTGGAAGAGCCCCAGACGAATCGATCTGTCACTTTCAAACTGGTATATTTACTATTTCCCCCCTTATTAACCTGGTCTGTGTTAAAAGGGTGTGTCTGCTCTAGGCTTCTTTGGGGCGTTGATTCTTCAACAGTAATCCCTGGACAATGGGTATCTAGTGGGGGACCCACACAGTCACAGCAGAAATAAGGCAGGGGGTCTACTTTCAGGGGCTTTGGGGATCAGTTGAGTTGCGATTAATCTTCGTAATTTAGATACACCCAGATCAAAAAGTGGGCTTAAAATGTCGTTTCCTCTGTGAATGATGCTTGGGGACATGTGCCAGTCCTTTTGTAGTCAGATTGGCACCATCCTTGCTCCAGGGTGGAAAGATCAGCTTGCCTAGGGGAATAGCCCAGAATAGCCCAATGAGGGCTTGGAATGCCTAGTGTCTCTTGAGAAGAAAATCTGGGGGAGGGGGGTGATTAAATGGAGTGTCTGGAAGAGGGCATGGTTGGCTGGCTGGCTGGCTGGCAGGCAGGAACTCTGAACAGGAGCATTCCATGCTGCTTTGGAAAAACGCCTTTGAAAATTCAACCGGGACCTGGCACAAAATAGTACAAATGCCAAATTGAACTACACTCTGCACAACGGCACAGTTTAATGTAATGTGGTGGCTTTAGACATGCTTAGCGGCGAGCATTTCTGATAAAGGAGGATTTGCTAACTTCGGAATGCTTCCTCTCCCCCCCCCCCATCTAGCCCTATTCTCTGTGTCTCACATGCTCTCTTAAAGCTGCATTGGAATGCAGAAGGATGTGAGTTTTAATTTTGGTCTGCAGAGAGCATAAAAGTATAAGTGTGGTCTGCCATGACAAGAGTCTCTCTTGCTCTTTTAGCAAATTGCTTCCTTGTCCATATGCACCAGGGTTTGTTTGCACCCGTGACAGTCTCCTCATTCATGCTCCCCACACCTCTGTGGGTCACAAGGTGACTGTGCAACAGAAGCGGACTGTGGCAGTCTCCGTCACTTTGGCGAAGTGCATGGGGAAGGGGCACGGAAATATTTCCCACACTTCTGATTTCTCACCGAGGCATCCCTTGCACATATTCCAGCTGTTCTGTTTTTGCTTTGCTTTGTTTAAAAGCAAGGCTGCGGTCCTCATGTTTGCTCGAGGTAGTGGGTCTTTCCCCCCTCTTTTCCCTCTCATTCTTTGTGGTCCCAGGCCACTCTTCTCCAAAACTTTGCCCCGCAAGTGGCCTATATTGGAAGGCATCGGGAACACTGGCCACCTAACTTTGCCAAATGTTTTTGCAAGTTCGGTTTTTGCAATACAGTGGTGCCTCGCGAGACGAAATTAATTCGTTCCGCGAGTTTTGTCGTCTTGCGATTTTTTTTGTCTTGCGAAGCACAGTGTCGGGAAAGTTTAGGAAAAGCTTCAAAAATCACCAAAGTCTTTAAAAACCTCAAAAAAGGCTACCACACCGCGTTCTATGAGTTGCTCCTCGAAGTCAAGTCGCAACTGTATTAACAGTGTTAAGAAAAAGGAAACAAACTTGCAAGACGTTTCCGTCTTGCGAAGCAAGCCCATAGGGAAAATCGTCTTGCGAAGCAGCTCAAAAAACAAAAAACCCTTTCGTCTTGCGAGTTTTCCGTCTTGCGAGGCATTCGTCTTGCGAGGTACCACTGTAGTATCTTCAGAGGAGCGCCTGGTTCAAATTCCATCTTATATGGAAGCTTGATTTGCTTCCGTTAGAAACACGCCTTTGATTCCCTGGGACTCTTCATATAAAGACTGTGTTCAGGTTGCCTTCGCTACCTTTCTGTAAAGATTTGTAGACTGGCTACTGCTGCTCTTTTTGATATATTTATCATTTTGCTACTATTTATATTTAAATATTTGCAGGCCACGCTTTTCACAAAGCTACTGCAGGGCTGGGTTACTTAGATTTGACTTTTTCCGCTGATTCTTAATTTTCTCTTTCCCGTGGCTCTTTTCTTCTTTTGGTGAGGGTTGCTATTCTTGTTTAATCGACAGCAAACTGTATTGCAGGGGGTTGGACTAGACCTTTGGGTCCCTTCCAGCTTTGCACTTCTATGATTCTATGACCCACGACTGTCTGGCCCGGGCGGCAACTCTGCCTCGGCACTGCGAAATCCAGGCATTCTTCTTCACGTAGAATTCCAGGGGGTTGGGTTTTCATGGTGGTTGTTAATGGGTTGCGATTTTTGAAAATGGTTTATGGGAAGCTTCTCTCCTCCGTGATGCTTACCGGTGTTGGACTTCCCCGCCCTCTCTGTTCTCCAGGCATCTGGCGTCGAAGGCTCCGATATCCCCGACGACAGCAAGCTAATTGGGTTTGCCCAGCTCAGCATTAACTAAAACGACACTCCCAGACGATGGTCTCTCCCCCTCCTCACTCAACGGGTGCAGCCTTGAACGCTTCTGTCAGCCTGAAAAGCAAAACCACTACTGCCAAAGAACCAAACTACAGCTCCCTTTCTTAGAAGCTTTAACCTCGTTTGTTTCCTGAGTCGCATCGCGGCGCCTCCTCGCCGACACCACCGTTGCAGACAGCTGGCTTCTCGGCCACGTTTCCTTCATCCCAGATGTGCAGACCAAGCCTTCCATTGCCTGCATGTTTGTAGTTTTTTATGATTATTATTATTATTGCCTTAACTATTTAAAGTACAAAAAAGAAAGAAAGAAAGAGAAGGAGGAGCCAGAAATACTACTGAGAGTACGACATGGGGCTTCCACTACTCTTAACAACTATCCCGGCGCGATTCGTGTGCCTGTCCGTTTCTTGATTCTGTGTCGAATCAGGTTTTTATCCCCCCCCCCCCGTGTGGCTGTGTGGTTGTTGCTCCATTGCAAAAGGGGGGTTGCTTCACTTTTGGGTCCACCTTACCAGGCATTGTGGGGGGGGGATACTTAAAAAACTACAGGAATGGCAAGCTATTCTAGCATGTCAGAAATCCGGATGGGCTCTTGCAAACCCAACAAAGTCTTAAGAGAGAGTCTTAAGCCTTAGGCTTAGCAATAAACCATTAAGGGATCTTATTTAATGGGTCTACGGCACGAAAGAAATGGATTAGCCTTAATTCCTCCTCGCCCCCTTCACATTAATGCAAAATAGAGCATTTGGGAAGGGGAACTATCAGGGTATCGTTTTGTTGCTGCTGCTTTTTTCGTTACTTTTCACCACCCGCAATCTTGTCAGGCCACTTTCCAACGTGTTTGTCTCTAGAGGAGGGGTGGTGGACCTGTCGTTGCCCTGCCCCCAACCTCCCACCTGTCCTATCCAGCATGAGCAACAATCAGGGGGGTGGAAGTTGTGGTCCAAAAGCACCCAGAGGAGGGGGGCGGGCTTCCCATCCTTGCTCTAAAGCGCCAAGCCAGAATTGCGCTGAGTCGAACCTCTGCATATTTCTGTTGCCGCCATGTCCGAATCACCGTTGTCTGAAAAGCGTTGGCTGCTGGGAAGTTTGGGAAGGCTGGCCTTTGCAATCCCTGTTTTCCCATCGGGAGTGGTTTCTGTAACAACGTTTGTGATGGGCGTCCCTTGCTGAAAGGAGATTAGGTGGAGCAGTGGGACTGGATAGCCCTAGATATTGGGCTGCTTTGTAAGAAGAAGAAGAAGCTCTCCCAACCCCAGGAATTTTGCCGTGCTGTTATCAGGCTTGCTGCGTCCCCACAAATCCACACAGTCATTGGGTGGCAGCATTGGGTGAGTTTCAAACCTCCTGACTTCGTAATCCTGGGAATTATAGTTGTGTGGTTAGCAATGCATAGACCGGCCTCTTCTAATTTGTTAAGCCTCCAGTTGTTGCTAAACCACAACTCCCATTATCCTTGATCACTGTCTGGGGCTGAAGGGAGTTGGGAGTCCAATATTCCCTGGAGATGAGTATCTTGGTCTCTCTGGAGATGAGCGTATTGCCAAAAAAAGGAAGGCAAGGGAAATCTCAGCTTGCTAAGCTGGCTGCAATTCCCAGAACTCTTTTGCAAAACCTGGGTTCCTTTTTCAAACGATACACATTTCCCCGTAATAAAAATCCGTGGGATTTTCTCTGCAACCGTTTTTGAGAAGGGAGCCCTTTGTAAGTAGACTACGTTGCTGGAGGTTGCAATTGCGCAAAGTTTGGCTGGGGTGGTTTAGCTGTCCAAAGTCGTAGATGTGTGGTTTGATGCATTCATAAAACCAGATGTTCTCTGTACATGGTTGCTAAGAACAAAAGTTGACCATGCCTTCTGGCAGTTGGGAGCTCTGTATTTGTGTGTGTGTGTGTGTGTGTGTGTGTGTGTGTGTGTTTCAGCCGAAGCAAATCTTTCCTGTTCTTGTTCTCAGAATTTTCCTTTGGTGTGTTCAAGATAGAAAACGCATTCATCCTCTTTCCTTTTTCCCCCCTGCACAGACTGGTACATATGGAACCACCCCTATTCTGTTTTTACAGCAATAAGATAAATAAATAGATTGCCGGTAGATTCATACATGGCAAGATTAAGCTCTGGGCAATTTTGTCCCTCCTGCTGCACTAATTGCTTGGAATTTGCAAAATTGATTTTTTTTATACTCTCCAGTATGAGCATCAAGAGTTTGATCAAGATGATATAACTGAAACCAATATAGCTTGCGTTTAGTATTTTTTAAAGAAATGAGTATCTGGTGGGGTGTGTGCGTGCGTGTGTATGTGTATGGTTTTTTTTCGTTTTTTTTAATTTCTACATATAAATTATACTTTTTAGTTTGGAAAAAAGCAACACTTGTAATGCAATATGTGAATAATAAAATGGTGTAGATTCTTCCCTCTCCCACAGGTCTCCCCCCCCCAAACACAGTCCAGTTGGGCCTTTCGTGTATCCCCGCTCTGCTTTTGAAGCGTAGAGAAATTGTAGGCAGTCTGTGATGGGTGAATTTAAATCCCAAAGGAACTGAGTTCTCGTTTCTCGCCCTACAGCCTTCCAGTGTGCTTGGAATTAGCCCAGTCGGCACATTGCAATGCCAATCTCTTAACCAGAGTTAAACTCTCTGGAGCTGGCTTACGGATTTCTTCCTTCCTTCCCGTTGACTCTCTTTCCAGGGCAAATTCTAACCCTCCTTGTTTCTTTGGCTTTATCCGTGGTTCTGCATTCCACCTGCTCCAGCTTCAACCGGAATTAACTTTCCAAGCACGCATCTAAAGCTGCTCTGTTAACTTGGGTTAAGGCAGATCCTGGTTAACGTTTCTGCAAAACCATGGCTACGACCGAGAAGGAGGCTGGAAAAGGAGAAGATGGAGCTTGCAAGTTTTGCACCTCACATCTAACCTCTTAAAACTGAGATTTAAGTCACACACATTCAACCTGGTGCCTTCAGGGGTTTTGGACCACAATTTCCATCTGCCCAGTTGTGATCCAAAACCTATTGAGGGCACCAGGTTGGGGAGGGGGAACTGATAGGCGTGTGCACTGGCCCACTCTGGTTGGGGGGTGGGTTTCAATTCAGTTACGAATCTCTCGGGTTCCCCCCCCCCCATTTAACCAATTATATTTATATATTTCTCACCCTATCGGCAGTGACAGAAGCTTCCTTCACTCTCTCACACACAAGTTTTTGCCATGTTTGCTTTTAAAGCGAAAATAACAATTCCTAAAAACAAAACAACCCCCCCCCCCAAACCTGTAGTTTATTCGCTCTACCGGTAGGTCACAAGCAAAAACTGCTACAAGCGTGGAGGCCAAACGAAGAAAGGATAGGAAAGGGCCACATCGCAGTGGTGTCAAAGAGGCAGAGTGTGACACAAAAGAGCCCCGTTCGAATTCTGAGTGTCTGTGTTGGAAGAGCTAGTTCTGTCCGCCTCGCCCCCTCTGAGAGCACCACATTACCCCCCCCCACTCAACTCTTACTTTCTTTTAAAACCTGCATGGGTGGGGGGTAACATTAAGCAGTCCCGGGACTACTGTTTCTGAGGGGGGGGGTGTCTCTGACCGGGGTGTGGGGCTCCCCACTTGATCGATGGGAGTGGCGGAGGCTCCGCCGCAGTCTCGATTCCCTGAATCCTTTGCCTGCCTTTGGCCGGCGGCGCGTCCCTTCGGAGCCTGTGATGTCATGCCACTAAAGTGGGCAGGGCTTGCCTCAAGCCCCACCCCCTTGGAGGAGGAGGATGGTGATTCAAAAAGGTGGGTGGAGCTTGTGGCTGAAATGGGCCTCAGGTGAGGAGCCAGGTGGGCGAAGCTTGGAGGTTAAGTAGAAGGCACCCCCCACCCACTCTTCCCACCCTGTCTTCAGCTATGAAGACCAAATTATTCTGGTACAGTATTACTTCACTTTTGCCTGCATGCCGTGCGAACCTTGTTGTACTCTACACTGGGACAGGAGTCCAGCCTAATCCAGTGCAATGATGCAATATCTATTTATTTGCTCCCACCTCTGTCTAACCCAAGTCTAGCAGACAAGAGTATCCATGCTGGCCGTTCTCCTTGTAATTTTATTTTATTCTGTCTTAATGAGCCTTCACTCCCCTTGCTATTAGAAATTTCTAGGCACGTGTCTCTTGGTAATAGTTTTTCCTTTTGTTTTTTTTTTTTTGCCTGGGATACTAAAAAGTGCTAGACGACTGTTTTGTTCTCGAGGTTCAAAGTGCCAATGATTTTATTATTTTATATTTTAATTTTTTTGGGGGGGGGTTAAGGAATTATTTCTAACCTTTTTACCCTTAACGGATCAGAGGGGTTTTTTTAAAATTTTATTTTGGGTAAATTCTGAACTTGAACCTAGAAATCAGTTGGTATTTTTTTAAAAACTTAGTTGATGATGGTGTATTAATATAACAGGAACCTCTACACGATTTTGGTGTACTGTAGATTTTAATGAAAGATGTAAAATATTCAGCCTTTTCCCTCCCCCCTTTGACTTTGTATTTTACTGCATGTACTTCTCTAATTTTTAATCAATAAAAAAAAATGTCCATTGCTTTTTGGAGTCGGTTTGTATTCTTATGATGCTGCTCTCATTCTTTCTCTGCCTCTCCTTGCAAATATCCCCAATACCTCATCACGGTTATGTCGTTTGTTGTAAACAAAAATTGCCCTTTTCCCTTATGGGGTATCCAAGAGCCCATATAGAGACCTTACATAGGTTCCCTATTGGTAGGAGAGAATAACAGAGGCCAACCAGAGAATATTGAGAAGCAAAGCAGCTAGTAAGCTTGATCTTTATTGAACTGTTGCAACAGGGTGCTCCCCTCACACACAGGAGAGAGGAGGAACCCAGAAAAAATGGTGCGCAAGGCCTTATAAAGACTTTTGAAATTGCCACCCTGTAGATGGCAATTTCTGCTGGCAATTTCACCCTGTAGATGGCAATTTCTGCAATATTCTGCTCTGGTCAGACCTCACCTGGAGTACTGTGTCCAGTTCTGGGCACCACAGTTCAAGAAGGACACTGACAAACTGGAACGTGTCCAGAGGAGGGCAACCAAAATTGTCAAAGGCCTGGAAACGATGCCTTATGAGGAACGGCTAAGGGAGCTGGGCATGTTTAGCCTGGAGAAGAGGAGGTTAAGGGGTGATATGATAGCCATGTTCAAATATATAAAAGGATGTCACATAGAGGAGGGAGAAAGGCTGTTTTCTGCTGCTCCAGAGAAGCGGACACGGAGCAATGGATCCAAACTACAAGAAAGAAGATTCCACCTAAACATTAGGAAGAACTTCCTGACAGTAAGAGCTGTTCGACAGTGGAATTTGCTGCCAAGGAGTGTGGTGGAGTCTCCTCCTTTGGAGGTCTTTAAGCAGAGGCTTGACAACCATATGTCAGGAGTGCTCTGATGGTGTTTCCTGCTTGGCAGGGGGTTGGACTCGATGGCCCTTGTGGTCTATTCCAACTCTATGATTCTAGATCAAGACCACCCCCAGAAGCATCACACCTACATCACAGAAAAGGAGGTCTAAACAGAAATTTGAATGTTGTTTTTCTCCTGTCCTTGTTTATCTCCTGTCTGGCAGGTTACTTGATTGGATTGCCTGGGGAGCCTGGCCAGTCTTTTGTAATGATAAATACTTAGTCCCTGGGCCAGGTCACAGGCTCACACCCTATTCAAACACAGACATACCCTTAAGACAGGATTTGTGAAGGAAAAGACAATGGGGAGGCTTTTCCATTTTCTTTTGACCTTGCAGAGAAAACATTTGGTCAGTTTGGGAATCAAAATGGTTCCAGGTCGGTCTTCCTGTGCTGATCTATGTATGTATTTGGTTGGTACACTTATGAACATTTGACATATAACTAAGACCTCAAAATTCCTATCACAGAGAATATCCACACAACACACCAGCCTTCCTCAAGAGAAGTTCTGGACCACATTTGTAATCTCTCTGCCCAACTTTAATTCTTGGCTCTTTGTTCCCATCCCCCCATTATTTTTCAATATTTCCTTAGTTGGCATTTCCAACATTAGAATAAATAACAGTGGCGACATGGGACAACTTTGTCTTGTCCTTTTTCAATATGGCATTTCCCCGTGATATTGCCATTTATTGTTGGCAGCCGGGTTAATGGGTTACAGGGTAGTGTTGCAGAAATGTGAGGCACAAAAGATCTCAGTGGATACCCATCCTTGTTGCCAAATCCCATCTAAACATTTATTTTGGGTTTAAACATTAATTCCAGAGGCTAGGTGAAAAAGGTCCTTGGGGGAGATTGCAGTCGCAGAAGGGAAGGGTAGAAAGAAGCTAGCAATGTCCGACACTGGGGAAATCATCAAAACTCTTGGAGACTTTGGCCGTTTCCAATGGCGGTTGTTGATGCTCGTGACTCTAGCTTCGCCAAGCCTTGCCTTCCATATGTTTTCCCAGTTATTCATGGTCCTGGAAGAGCCCCATCATTGCAACACAAGCTGGTTCAACGCCATCGGCTTGAACCTGACTGAAGAGGAACGGCTGAACTTGACCCTTCCCAAAAAGCCCGATGGGACATTTGAAGAATGTCTCATGTACACTCCAGTGGACTGGGATCTCGATGCCATCGTGCAATATGGACTTAATTCTACCGAAAAGTGTCGGCGTGGGTGGGTTTATCCTTCAAACCAAGAGCCTTCCTTGCTCACACAGGTTTGGAAATTGTATTTTACCCTTTGAATCATTTGCTTGCTTTCCCCCTAAGTTATTTGTTAATTTATATACAAATTATGTGCCAAAATGGCCTCTAAGCAGTCTATATACCCCTGTGTCCTTCCCTGCGTGGACCCCAAGGCAATCTACATTTCTGTCCTGCTGTTATGTGGTCTCCCAGGCGCTCAGCGGGCCTGGATCTGCTTAGCTTTGACAAGGTGGTGGCCTAGTGGGTCTTTAGACCGTATGGCAGGACTGCAGTCCAGCACTTTTATTCTGCGCAGACAGCGCCTTGCAATGTCTCTTTGCAAGAAATGCAAGGAAGCAGACATTACGAAGTGCACATTCCTGAAGGTGATTTTTTGAAGCGTTAGAAGTGACGGCAGCAGCCACTGATTTTGGTTATTTCTTTATATAAGATTGTCCCAGCATACGTCATGCTTCAGAGAAGCCTATTTAGACATAAAGCAGTATATTAATGGCAGCTAGAGAGTTGACAGCCACACGTCCTGGTCGATAGTTTCCTTCAGTGTGTAAAACATCACTCTTGTCCTACTCCTCTAGCTCCTTTTGGGAAGAGTCCCTAATTGCGTGTCTAGACCCCGCATTCACCCCCTCGTAAAGAATTAAGACACCAGGACACAGATATTATGTTAATGTTATTGGGCAAATTTTGGCCACAACTTTATTTGATTACAGACTGTGAGTGGTATTGGCTTAGGCATTGAATGGACCCGACTATATCTGACTCCTGCCCCATGCGCAGGGAGTCCGGTAAGGGTAAACCACCAGAAAGGGGAGCCCCGTCAATGCAGACCAACTTGAGCTCTCCCAGATGTTCCTGGTGGGGTCGTGTCATGGCCCTAGCCCTGCCCTGGGCTTCAGACAAGATCCACACCCCCGGATTCCTTTAACGGAATACCCTTAAGCTTGGAGGGGCAGGTGATGGCCACACCTCCCTCATAAGGTCAGACAATGCCTAACCGCAAAACCTTACAAAGTTGTGATGATTGCTACGAGGTAGGCGAAAACCAAATGGCCCCTTGCCAGATTTGCCAAGTGGAAAAATTCCTACCAGTCCTCTCAATGGCGACCAACCGAGGTCCATAGCAAGGCCAATGCAGAAAACCTGTAAAATAGGGAGGGAGGGAGGGAGTTTGAAGAAGCGAGCCAAGAGGAAGCCCTCTGGCTCACGCCCCAGCTTAAATGGTCCAGGCCATGCCCCCCAGCCACCGGATTGGCCAGCTGAACGATGACATGGCAGGGATCCCCCGGTGGCCACATGGTCCACCGCAGCTCCTCCCCAATGTTAAGTGGAGAGGACTTCACAGCTTTTGAGACTTCCTTGCATGTCCACCTTTTGATGCTAGCGCTACCAAATTCCTGTTCCTAGGAATATAGGAAGAGCGTTTTAGAATCAGGCTAAATAAAGTCTGCTCTTACAGTGGCTAACCACCAGAGGCAATCTATAGCCATCATGATTAGTAGTCAGTGGTGGTCCTATTCTCCATTAGTTTGTCTAATCCCCTTTTCCACAGTTTAGCCATGCACGCATTGTGTATGGCCCCAGGTACCTCATTTTGAGCACAGTGAAGTTTCAGGAGTTTGTGCCTGTTACACTCCACACCCTCGCAGTTCAGAGACATTTCACTTCCACACCTGTAGCCATAGGCGCCAACTCCTGTTAAGCAACATCTTATGAACCGCCCTGAGATCTTCGGGCAACGGGCAATATATAAATTTAATTAACAACAACAGCTCCCAACTCCAGTGCCTACTCCACGGATGATGCTAAATCATAATTTGGCAACCCTAAGTGTTTTTGCAAGCCAGGGAAAGTGTATTGCTTTGCATTCATTTCTTTGTCTTCCTGTCTATTTCCAGCTCCCTCCCACCAAATTATGAACTTTAAATTAAACCAGCAGCATCATCAACAGCTCCCCTGGTTTTCCGGGTTTACTATCTGGAGATGTTATGGATTGAACCTAGGTCTTACTGCATACAAAGCAGCTGTTCTACCAATGAGTTCTGGTCCTTCCAATTAGAAGTAGCAGGACTGTATTCTTGGACAGCTGCTGCCAGTTAGTGCAGGCAGCAGAGGGTTAGGAAGACCTGGTATGCTAATGCCTTGGTTGAAAACAGATTCCTATTGTTGTAAAAAAAAAAATATTGCCCTTTTCCCTTATGGGTATCCAGGAGCCCATATAGAGTCCTTATATAGGTTCCCTATTGGTAGGAGAGAATAACAGAGGCCAACCAGAGAATATTGAGAAGCAAAGCAGCTAGTAAGCTTAATCTTTATTGATCTGTTGCAACAGGGTGCTCCCCTCACCCTCAGGAGAGACGAGGGACCCAGAAACATGGCGCGCAAGGCCTTATAAAGACTTTTGTAATTGCCACCCTGTAGATCAAGACCACCCCCAGAAGCATCATACATACATCACAGAAGGGGTGTAACCTAAGACCACCCCTCAGATACATCACACCTACATCACAGAAAAGGCGGTCTTAAAACAGAAATTTGAATGTTGTTTTTCTCCTGTCCTTGTTTATCTCCTGTCTGGCAGGTTACTTGATTGGATTGCCTGGGGAGCCTGGCCAGTCTTTTGTAATGATAAATACTTAGTTCCTGGGCCAGGTCACAGGCTCACACCCTATTCAAACACAGACATACCCTTAAGACAGGATTTGTGAAGGAAAAGACAATGGGGAGGCTTTTCCATTTTCCTTTGACCTTGCAGAGAAAACATTTGGTCAGTTTGGGACAGTTTGGGAATCAAAATGGTTCCAGGTCGGTCTTCCTGTGCTGATCTATGTATGTGCTTGGTTGGTACACTTATGAACATTTAACATATATCTAAGACCTCAAAATAAGGGACGAAGGTGGCGCTGTGGGTTAAACCACAGAGCCTAGGACTTGCCGATCAGAAGGTTGGCGGTTCGAATCCCAGCGATGGGGTGAGCTCCCATTGCTTGGTCCCTGCTCCTGCCAACCTAGCAGTTTGAAAGCACGTCAAAGTGCAAGTAGATAAATAGGTACCGCTCCGGCGGGAAGGTAAACGGTGTTTCCGTGCGCTGCTCTGGTTTGCCAGAAGCGGCTTAGTCATGTTGGCCACATGACCCGGAAACTGTACGCCGGCTCCCTCGGCCAATAAAGCGAGATGAGCGCTGCAACCCCAGAGTCGGCCACGACTGGATCTAATGGTCAGGGGTCCCTTTACCTTTACCTTTAAGACCTCAAAATTCCCATCGCACTATGCACAAGCCTTGGCTACTGAAAAGATGTGCCCATTGTCAAGGTACAAGTTTAATTCGTTCCCTCTTCTGATTTCCTTCAAGTAAAGTGGCTTTCCTTTTCTTTCCTTAAGTTTGACCTGGTATGTGACTGGGAAGATTTAAACGACATCTCGCAATCTATTTACATGCTGGGCCTTCTCGCTGGAGCGCTGGTGTCTGGTCTGTTAAGCGACCGGTAAGAGAGAAAATAAAAGGGGCAGTAGGCTGGGGAAATGTTGCCGTTTAGAAATGTGGTCAGCCAGCAGGAAATTCCTGCCCGTCCCCAAAAACCAGCTTCAGAAGGATTTTACCCAGGACAGTAGCAGGAGAGGAATGGGTTAAATTCCCCGCTGCTTACCTCCCTGCTTGTAATTACCGTATTTTTTGCACCATAACACTCAATTTTTTCCTCCTAGAAAGTAAGGGGAAATGTCTGTGCGTGTTATGGAGCGAATGCCTGCGGGTGGCGGGTGGGATCTGCTGCAGTCTTGAGCAGAGGATCCATGGTTCCCCTTCCTTCCCTCCTCTGTGGTTACAAAGCATGGATCCACATGGATCCTCAGGATTTTTGCATTGGGCTACTCCAAACTCACTGTCAGATCACATGCCTGTGGCCACAGCATGAACCACAAAAATAATATATCCACTATTTCGTTTAGAATATTTTTTTTCTTGTTTTCCTCCTCTAAAAACTACGTGCGTGTTATGGTCTGGTGCGTGTTATAGAGCGAAAAATACGGTATTAGATTCCCCAAGCTAACGCAACTTGCATTTTTTAGAAACCTGCATCTTAAATGCAAAATAAAGAAATGCATTTAACTTTGCATGTAGCTTGGTCTTTAGAGCGCCGTGGTGTCTTAAAAATGGGTAAAAGTGATTGTGGCACTGCTGCCTGTGTCACCAGACTCATAAAGTCTACCACAAGCACAAAACCAGAGACAGCGGAGAGGTGTGGCCATGAAACTCAGGAGGTTCATTGGGTTTATGCCATTTATCTGCAAAGTTTAAAGCACGTGAGATAAACTATTCTCAGCGGTAGAATTTATGATAACACAGGCCATCATTGCAAGGCTAGGAAGGTTTAACACATGGAGTGGGAGACACGTCCCTAGTCTCAGTTAAGACCTCAATGGGCAGAGTCAAATTTTATCATGAATTGTTACATCTGTAGTTTCATGATGGGGTTTGGGGCGTGTCTTCAACAGCAACAATGCAACAAAACAACAACACCACAAACTGGCTTATAAGTATAAAACCAAATTTACTAGAATATTAACTAGAATAGAGATAGACTTGTAACTATTCAAGCAACAAACATACTACAACAAACATGAACCGTTCAATGATTTGCCTTCCTGTGACTGATCCATGCATACGGCTTTCTGTTTCCAACTCAAGACCTATTGAGGAACATCTCATCCAGTTAAATCTTTGAAAAACTTTTTCATATTCTCCAGTGTGCTACCCTTGCCATTGTGGCGGCACAGGGGTTGCCGTTCTGTGATTTGGACTTACGCTACTTGTTGAACGGTTCATTTATCCAGTCTGTACAACGTTTATTGCACATGTAACTTGTTAAGATACAGTTGTACATTTATCCACTCCATGTTTACGTTATCTCCAGGCTTTGTTTTGCACATGGCACCTTAGTATGTTTGTTGCTTGAATGGTTACAAGTCGATCTCTATTCTAGTCATTATTCTAGTAAATTTGGTTTTATACTTATAAGCCAGTTTGCAGTGTTGTTGTTTTGTTGCATTATTATTACTGTCACCACATTTGGTACTTTGTGTATATACAGTGGTACCTTGGGTTACATACGCTTCAGGTTACATACGCTTCAGGTTACAGACTCCGCTAACCCAGAAATAGTGCTTCAGGTTAAGAACTTTGCTTCAGGATGAGAACAGAAATCGTGCTCTGGTGGCGCAGTGGCAGCGGGAGGCCCCATTAGCTAAAGTGGTGCTTCAGGTTAAGAACAGTTTCAGGTTAAGTACGGACCTCCAGAACGAATTAAGTACTTAACCTGAGGTACCACTGTACTTCAACAGCAACAAAACAACAGCTTACAAGCCAGTAGAAGAAGTGAAATGACGATACCACAATAAATTTTACGGCATGTAATGCCTTAAGAGAAAATATTATGAAAATGATTTATAGGTGGTACATGACCCCAGTCAAGCTTGCAAAGATCTACCATCTGCCTGACAATAAATGTTGGAAATGTAAGGAAAATGAAGGTACATTTTTTCATCTCTGGTGGACGTGCCCGAAGATTAAGGCATTCTGGGAAATGATATATAATGAACTGAAAAAGGTATTTAAATATACCTTCCCTAAGAAACCAGAGGCCTTTCTCTTGGGTATAGTCAGCCAGGGGATGTTAAAGAAGGATATGACCTTTTTTATGTACGCCACAACGGCAGCAAGAATACTCATTGCTAAGTACTGGAAGACACAAGATCTACCCACCCTGGAAGAATGGCAGATGAAGGTGATCGACTACATGGGCTTAGCAGAGATGACGAGCAGAATCCGAAACCAGGGAAGAGAAGCAACGGAAGAAGAATGGAGAAAATTTAAGGACTATTTAAAGAAATATTGCAAAATTAATGAAGCTTAAAATGATGTTGGATTAGTGAATAAATGGTTGCTAGCGGTAATGGTTAAGATAAGGAGAAAAAATATGATCAAACTAAGTTAAAATATGGGAAGATTTGCTGAATAATTGATTAGAAATTGGAATACAGAAATGGGAAGCATGAGGAAGTCGGGGAAGTAAGCTATAAGAAAATAAGATCTGAAATTATACTTGTTATTGTGTGTTTGTTATGTTTATTGTATTGCTATGTTTTGTTTTTGTAGTTATAAGAAAAAACCCTTAATAAAAATTTTATATAAAAAAATAAAAAATAAATAAATGCTAGTTTTTAAAGATACCACGATACTCTGATCCTTTCTGCCGCAGCAGACATAACAGGATGTTTCATAGATGAGCAAGCTCCCTCTGGCTTTTAGCAATGGCATATTGTCATTGTTGTCATGCATATAATAAGAGATTCAGGAGCAGAGTCGTGGCTGCTATGTAGCTACTGAGGAAAAAAAGGAAGATGCAGGGAGACCGTAAGGTTCGTAGAAGCGGGGGGGGGGGGACATGGGGGAACCTAAGGGGGGCACCCCCACAAAAAAGTCCAGTGTGGACTGAGCTTTCATAGTGGCCATACAATGTTGTATGATGGGGAAGACTGGGAGGAGGGAATGGAGTATATTGGGGAAGGTATGACTGGCTGGTACCCGAAACACCAGTGACGTCTGTTTGCAGGTCCCACTTTTTGCAAAACCCAGTGTTGTAAACAAAATCTGCCCTTTTTCCCTTACAGAGTATCCAAGAGTCCATATAGAGTCCTTAAGTGGGTTCCCTATTGGTAGGAGAAAATAACAGAGCCAACCAGAGAATATTGAGAAGCAAAGCAGCTAGTAAGCCTGATCTTTATTGATCTGTTGCAACAGGGTGCTCCCCTCACATGCAGGAAAGGAGGATGAACCCAGAACAATTGCACGCAAGGCCTTATACAGACATTTTAAATTCCCTGCCCTGGAGCTCAAGACCAACGCTGCATACATCATATCTACATCACAGAAAAGGAGTTGCTGTTTTCCTGTCTGTCAGGTTATCTGATTGCCTTTCCTGATAGTCTGTCACCCATTAAAATGCTGGTTACTCAGTTCCTGAGACCATGGGAAGGCTCCCTGACCCCCTCCCTCCTTGCAGAGAAAACATTTGGGAATCAAAAATGATTTCAGGTTGGTCTTCCTGTGCTGATCTATGTAAGTGCTTGGTAGGCACACTTATGAACATTTAACATATATCTGGCGGAGTCGCAGGTAGAATTTAAGGGACGCGGGTGGCTCTGTGGGTTAAACCACAGAGCCTAGGACTTGCCGATCAGAAGGTCGGCGGTTCGAATCCCCGCAACGGGGTGCGCTCCCGTTGCTCGGTCCCTGCTTCTGCCAACCTAGCAGTTCGAAAGCACCTCAAAGTACAAGTAGATAAATAGGTACCACTCCGGCGGGAAGGTAAACGGTGTTTCCGTGTGCTGCTCTGGTTCGCCAGAAGCGGCTTAGTCATGCTGGCCACATGATCCGGAAGCTGTACGTCGGCTTTCTTGGCCATTAAAGCGAGATGAGCGCCGCAACCCCAGAGTCGGCCACAACTGGACCTAATGGTCAGGGGTCCCTTTACCTTTAAGACCTCAAAATTCCTATCACACCAGTATACAAGGCAAACATCTGGAAATCAAGAGTAGCACTTGGAGAGGTTGGGAGTATGTATGTAAGTTACACCAGCCTCTGCCAATGTGGTGCCCTTCAGATATTTTGGGCTCCCATCATCCCTAATTGCCAGTTCTGCTGGCTAGGGCTAATGGGCTCCCAGAAACATCTCCCCTTTCATCCCTCTACTAAAGAGTGTAGCTGGAGACCAATGTCCTTCTGCCCAGGGATTTTTGTGCGTGCCTCCTGTTTTCTGCTACTGTCTTAGGAGAGCGAAAGTTCCCCAAAAGCAACGTGATGGCAATAATGTATTTCCTCCTCTCCCAGGTTTGGTCGGCGGCCAAGTCTTCTGTTGTCCATGCTCATCGAAGGTGTGTTTGGGGTTGCTACGGCCTTTGCTCCCAATTTCTACCTCTACAGTGCGTTCCGATTTCTTGTGGGTGCTTCTGTTTCCGGAGTCGTGATAAGCAGTTTAGCTTTAGGTAAGATGTACAGAAAACGGCTTTACAAAATAGAAAGGGAAGTCTGGGTTCCTCTTTGGGCAAATGAGGCCCTCAATACTATTCTACCTGGCCCTCGGAAATCTTCCCCATGCCACGGCACTCGCTGGCTGTTCTTTGTGCAGTGTGTGTTTATTTTTATTATGTTTATTATGAATATTCATTGCGAGACATCCTCAGGGGAAGAAAAGGCTAAGGAGTAAACGCTACACAAATCTGGAGTGCAGTCCCTAAGACAGTTGGGTGGCAACTTCTGCAGCCAAGCTGGTGCCAAACGTATGGCTCTGCTTTCTTTTGGATCACATCAGCGAGGCCTTTTTCTCGCTCTCTGACTGCATATTTTAAAAGATCAAGAGTGGTGTTTATGCTCCAAATAGCTTCACATTTCCGAGAGCACAGCATTCTGAGTCTTTTGAAGACAGATATACCAGACTCTCATATGAGCAGAAGCGATAGCTCAATAGTCAACCCTTGTGCTTTGCATGTAGAAGATCCCAGGTTCAGTTCCTGACATCTTCAGACAAAAGACCTGGGCCCTGGGCCCTTCCAGGGTTGTTGGACTACAACTCCTATCATTGGCCATTCTTGCTGGGGTTCATGGGAGTTGGAGTCCATCAATGCCTGATGATCTTCTGATAGCTGAGGCTACTTTGCACAGAGCTATGCAAAATAAACCCCCGATTGACAGCTGGCCAGCCCCAGCCACCTGTCAACCTTGTCCCATTGGGGAGATAAGAACCTGTCCAAGTTCAGTTGACCTAGGGCAACTGTTTTGGGACTACAATCCCATCATCCCTGACCACTGGTCCTGTTAGCTAGGGATGATGGGAGTTGTAGTCCCAAAACAGCTGGAGAGCCAAGTTTGGCCATCACTGACCTAGGGCAAGGTTTATTACCCACTATATTGCTGCCCTAGGAATAGGTTTTTTAATGGATTTCCATCTGGAACAATATTTTAGTAAGTCACAGCCGTGTGTGTGTGTTACTGAACATCCAAGACAAGTGCCCTGCATAATAGCTGCAAATTCTCTTTGCGCTACCAGCAGGAAAAATCAAGAGAGGGTTTTGTGGAACTGAATGCAGGTTGAAGCCAAAACTTGTGAGACTGCCCTGTCAAAAGCTGTTAAAAATAAAATAAAAATAAAGCTTTATTCATATGATTGGTTTTTTGTTTTGCTTTGAAATCAATTTCTCCTAACCACCTGTAGCTACAGAATGGGTTGGAATTGTCTACCGTCCACATACGGTGATTATCAGCCATGCAGCCTTTTCCGTGGGACAGATGATCCTGGCAGGCCTGGCTTATGCCTTTCGCGACTGGAGGACGCTGCAGCTTGCTGGATCTGCCCCAGTTTTTGCCCTCTTCTTCTACCTGTGGTGAGTACTGGATCAGAATGTGACAAGTCCCAGAGACAGGCCCCCAGCCACCCAGCCACCTATTTTTTATTTGAAGTGGTGTTTTGTTTTGTTTTGATCCTGCCTTCCGCAAGAGCCCCAGGGTGGCTTACATTGAAAACAGGTGCATTGCAGAGGGTTAGATGACTCATGGTGTCTCTTCCAACTCTACTGTTCTATGAGTTGGACTTACAGCAGTATATCATACACACACACACACACACACACACACACACATATATACACATATATACATACACATTTTTATTGATTTTTTAACATATCAGTTCCAACAGTCATACAACATATCTTCTCATCTTATACAATATTTTAGACTTCCGTCAACACCTCTGATGATTTTCCGTTCTTTATCACTTTTTCAGCATTTTTAAATTTCTATATTGCATTTAATTGTCCTTAACTAATAATTCTTTTCATAGTCTTTCTTGTAATATTTCAAATAATCCACCTTAAAAAAAACTTCTTGCAAACCTACTAGCGTAATCTGTTCATCACAATTACTTTTCAAATAGTTCATATATTTACTCCAGTCCTCTAAGAATCTCTGATCCCGCAGGTTTCAAATCCTTCCTGTTAATTTATCTAATTCTGCATAGTCCGGACTTGCAGCAGTATATCAAGGGTTCCAGCCTGCTATGCTGTCTGCCAGGTCACTGTACCATTCTGTTTTTGTTTTGTTTTGTTTTTAGTAGGGATGTAATGGACTGCCCTGAATTTGCTTGCCTGTTGGAATAAAACCATCCTGAAGATGCCTGCAAATAAAAACATCCTGAAGGTCCCAGGCCACAGAGAGGTTAGGCTGGCCTCAACTAGAGCCAGGGCTTTCTCGGCCACGGCTCCAATCTGGTGGAACACTCTATCACAAGAAACTAGGACCCTGAGGGACCTGACATCTTTCCGCAGGGCCTGCAAGACAGAGCTGTTCCACCAGGCCTTTGGTCAGGGTGCAGCCTGACTCCCTCCTCTGGCAATCGGCACAGAATTTTGCTTAATGGTTGCCATCAATTTGATTTTAATTAATTTTATAATGAATGTTTTTAGAATGTTGGATGATTTTGATTGTTGTTAGCCGCCCTGAGCCCAGCTTCGGCTGGGGAGGGCGGGCTATAAATAAAATTTATTATTATTATTATTATTATTATTATTATTATTATTCTCAGGATCCTTCCTGAATCTGCTCGGTGGCTGGTGACCAAAGGAAAAACAGAAGAAGCCAAGAGGCTTCTCCAGAAGGCATCTTCTGTCAACAAGCGAGCCATCCCACTGAAGCTGTTAGATGAGGTAAGAGAAGCCGGGCATTGTAGCCAGCTATTCTTTCCAAAAATATCATTTATTTCACCTAGTCCATTATGTTTTGTGCACCCCAATCTCAGAACGGTGAGAGATTTCAGGGGTGCCAGAGCATATCTTGGGCTAATTACTTGCACCCTTCCCGCCCACAAAAAATGAGCTAACTTCAATTTTCAAAAGCAGATGTCTTGTAGGAAAAATGAAAAGCACAAAACTTGAAACTGATAAATGTATTTTAAATTGCTGAAATCGCCTACTTGTAGCATCAGAAAATTGGATCCTTAGGCATGGCCTGGGGAGTGGAGCTCTATGGCTCTAGGATGAAGTCTGAGAAGCAAAGGTAGCTCAGTAGTATCTGCCATACAGCGTAGACTGTCCTTTCATCTAATCCAGTGGTTGGGAACTTGTGGCACTCTAGATATTGGTTGGGCAACATCTCCCATGTCCCTGACTGCTAGCCTTGCAGGCTGGGGCTAGCAGAGGGCCGCAGGATCACCATTCCTGTCTTACCATGTAAGGTAAAGGTAAAGGGACCCCTGACCATTAGGTCCAGTCGTGGCCGACTCTGGGGTTGCGGCGCTCATCTTGCTTTATTGGCCGAGGGAGTCGATGTTTGTCTGCAGACAGTTTTTCCGGGTCATGTGGCCAGCATGACTAAGCTGCTTCTGGCGAACCAGAGCAGCGCACGGAAATGCCATTTACCTTCCCACCGGAGCAGTACCTATTTATCTACTTGCACTTTGATGTGCTTTCGAACTGCTAGGTGGCAGGAGCAGGGACCGAGCAACGGGAGCTCACCCTGTCACGGGGATTCGAACCGCCGACCTTCTGATCGGCAAGCCCTAGGCTCTGTGGTTTAACTCACAGCGCCACCCGCGTCCCTGTCTTACCGTGTACAAAAGAAAAGAAATGCAGTCGTACCTTGGTATTCGAACAACTTAGTTCATGAACAACTTGGAATTCGAACGCCACAAACCCGGAAGTACCGGTAGGTGTTCCGGTTTGTAAACTTTGTCTTGGAAGCCAAATGTCTGGCGCAGCTTCCGCAGCTTCCGATTGCCTGCAGGACACTCCTGCACCCAATCAGAAGCCATGCCTTGGTTTCCAAACATTTCAGAAGTCAAACGGACTGCCGCAACACGTTCTGTTTGAAAACCAAGGTACGACTGTGGATAACACTTTCCCCATGCTTTTCCAGCGTCTGGCTCCAGAGGAAAACAAGCAAATGAATCTAGCCAAGCCATCCCGACTCCTTAGCAGCCTCCATTTAGCAACTCCTCACGTCTCCATTGTGCAAATCATGTTTACCCCTAACTCCCACAAAACCTTATCCAGCTGAGAAGGTGAGCAGACAGGAACCATGGATGAGCTGGGCAGGAACTGCGCTTCTTTTCGCTCGCCGCAAAGCCCAACAGAATACCTGCCAAGTGCCCTGGGGAAAATGGAACACCCGGGGTTTTGTGTGAGAGATTGCGGTGGCCATTTTCGGTGTCATGTGCTCTCACACTGTGTTCTCACCCCCAAAAGCACTTTTTGGGGGGCAAGGGCAAGGAACAGGTCACATGACTTGCCCGGGAGCTGGTCCTGGAAGACACGAATCCTGGTTTTGTGTCTCCAGAAGTTGGGCAGTGTGCTACAGGGACACAGATATGGCCAACACTGTTTGGGTGGTTCATAACTATAGTTTGGTTTTGATGCAGAAACAAAACAAAAAAAAGTGAACTGAGATGGGGTTTCCAGAAAGCAAGAGATTACAAATGAAGTTAACTTGGTTTCCCCACTCCGTCCTTTCTCTCTTTGTTTTCACTTTCATGTCTTGCAAAAGCTGACACCTGACAAGACCGTGTCTGCAGGCATTTGGGAACTGTTTAGAAACCCCCACATGGGGAAGGTGACTTTCGTCCTATCAGCAGTCTGGTAAGCCTGTTATCTATTGTTACTTTATTTGCAGTAGTACATTTGCGGGCCAAAGGTGCAAAGTTCCTGGCCTCTGCCCTGTATGCAGAAGGTTCCCATTTCAAACTCTGCTATCTCCAGGTGTGGCTGGCAAGGACGCTACCTGAAGCCCCAGAGAGTCACAGCCATTGTGTGGACAATACTGAGTCAGATGGACCAGATACCCAACTTGGCGTATTTCCTAGATCTCAGAGAATGGAATTGGAAAGACTACCTAACCAAGATGGGCAAAAGGGCCAACGATTTGATTACACAGAAAGCATCTTCATACATTTTGTCTCCTTTTATATTATCCTATTCATACATCAGCCCACACCGAAAAGCTCAGTGTCTGTAATTTGCCCAAATTGCATTCCCTTTTCCAAGTCACATTTCCAAAACGATCTGCACTCCCATCCATGCGGGTTAGAAACTGTTAACAGAAAAATCTGAGGGCTCCCTTGGACAAAAACAAAGACACCAACCAGGATAACTTGGAGCAAAACAGCAGCCTGTAGGTTTGGCCTTTGCAACAGGGTGCTCCCCTCACCCGCAGGAGAGAGGAGGGACCCAGAAAAATGGTGTGCAAGGCCTTATAAAGACTTTTGAAATTGCTACCCTGTAGATCAAGACCACCCCCAGAAACATCATACATACATCACAGAAGGGGTGTAACCTAAGACCACCCCTCAGATACATCATACCTACATCACAAAAAAGGCAGTCTAAACAGAAATTTGAATGTTGTTTTTCTCCTGTCTGTCAGGTTACTTGATTGGATTGCCTGGGGAGCCTGGCCAGTCTTTTGTAATGATAAATACTTAGTTCCTGGGCCAGGTCACAGGCTCACACCCTATTCAAACACAGACATACCCTTAAGACAGGATTTGTGAAGGAAAAGACAATGGGGAGGCTTTTCCACTTTGACCTTGCAGAGAAAACATTTGCTCAGTTTGGGAATCAAAATGGCTTCAGGTCGGTCTTCCTGTGCTGATCTAAGTATGTGCAGTTATGAACATTACCATATATCTAAGACCTCAAAATTCCTATCACAAAACCTTTTAAAGAAGTTAAAACGGGGTACTGTGAGGAATCGCAAACGTGTCTTTTGGGAAGTGCTGTGTGTCCTTCCAGTTTAAAACTCTCCTTACTTTTAATCATGGATATGGTCTGTTCGTCTTTAGGTTTGTCAGCAGTTTGGCGTACTACGGGTTGAGCTTGAACGTGGGCGGTTTCGGTTTCGATATCTACCTGACACAGGCTATCTTTGGGGCTGTTGAAATTCCAGGTCGTCTCTCCTGCATCTTCCTGGTGCAATGGCTAGGGAGAAAGAAATGCCAATCCTCCGCCTTGCTCCTGGGGGGAACTTGTTGCCTTCTCATCGCAGTCATCCCAAAAGGTGCACATCAACCCCTGAAGGGCTAGCATCCCCCGGGCTAACACTTGCCAAATGGGCTCTGTTTTAAACCAGTCTTCAAAAGAGGTTTGGATAAATGAAGCCAGGCGATGCTCTGATTGGAATCTCAGCTTGCTCCAGCAAGCAGCCGACCCAGGCTGAGCATTCAGTAGTGCCCCAGTTTCCTCTAAGCAGCAGTGCTGTCTTTGGTGAGTGACATCTCTACTCTTATTGGGGCTTATCATTCTTCTTCTTCTTCTTCTTCTTCTTCTTCTTCTTCTTCTTCTTCTTCTTCTTCTTCTTCTTCTTCTTCTTCTTATAATTTAATTCAATGCATATAACGTATTTTTCGCTCTATAAGACGCACCAGACCACAAGACGCACCTAGTTTTGGGAGGAGGAAAACAAGAAAAAAAATATTCTGAATCTCAGAAGCCAGAACAGCAAGAGGGATCGCTGCGCAGTGAAAGCAGCAATCCCTCTTGCTGTTCTGGCTTCTGGGATAGCTGCGTAGCCTGCATTCACTCCATAAGACGCGCACACATTTCCCCTTACTTTTTAGGAGGGAAAAAGTGAGTCTTATAGAGCAAAAAATATGGTACCTCTTAATGCCAAAATGAGCTGTTTACAAACTATAAAAACACAAAAAGTTAAAATATAAAGATGCCAGATTAAAATATGCAAGAAAACAACTCCATTTGAAACCACACAGCAATTTAAGCAGGAGATTGAATTGAGAGATCAAGGCAATGTCTGTGCAACAGATGCCCTGAGGCTGGTGGCATGCCCATACAGATGGCGCCTCTTGTACCCATGGCCTCTTCCCCTGAGCATGGGTTGTTGAAGCCCTGGGTTGCATGACAACACACACACACCCTGCTTTTGTTTTTGGGTTTTCTTTGACATACAATCTTTCTTCCCCCAGATCTGCCTATACTAGTAACGGTGTTTGCCACCACCGGGAAGTTTATCATGTCTGGTTCCTTATCTATATCATATGTGTATTCTGCAGAGCTGTTCCCAACTATTGTCCGGTGAGGCTTGCTATGTACTTTTAAAAATATTGTGTTTCAAAAACAGGGTGTATTTATACAGAGGGCCTGAAATAGAGCTTTTTTAAAATAAAGAGTTATATCAGATGTAAAGGTTGCATTTCCAGTTTTTAAATTGGATAATTCATGACCTTTTGCAGTGTTACGTAATGGAAGTTGCCCATATGAGCAGCCATAGCCATAGCCATAGCGCCACCCTGTCTGCTCCTTTAAGTTAGGCAGCTGCTCTGTGTAATTCAAGCACTTGTAGACTGCAATGGGCTTTGACGACAAAATGGTGGAAAGAGGGGGGGGGAACTGCTAGGTCTGGAGAACCAGGCTCTCTAGCAAAATTTGAGAAACGTCACACACCGTCAAGGCGTTTTTTCAGCTGGAGCTCCAACACCTCTCAGGTAGACATCATTGCCCTTCTAAAACAACAAGGAAGACGTTCATGATGAGCTCCCGTACCTCTTTTTCTAGAAAAATAGAACTGCATGTTGTGTTTATAAACCAACCATACAATCAACAAACGATTGTAAGTTTAAACTCGCAGGCTGGGTGAATGGAGAAGACTGACAGAAACAAGTGAAATCTCCACCCTCCACTCACTTTCCTACAGAGGTGCCAACTTCTAAAGACGATTGCGAGTGCCCAACGTCACAAGGAGCGAGGGGTAGAGCTGAATGCCCTCTGAACATTGAGGGGGCCTAAGAGTTTTAAGCCAATGCTTATTCCTGCTTCCAAGGGGAGCTGGCTGTTCATAGTGCTTATTGGCTGTGCTTTGCGGCAATCCAAAAGCCACTTGGCCTATATCCAGGTTTCAGGAATCTCTAGGGAGAGTGCCATTTGTGTGGGTTGCCTTTTTACTTCCATGTGCCCCCTCTGGCTCACATGGAAGCAGTGCCAGCTCCTGAGCCTCACCACACGTGTCTTCCTTCCTTCTCAGGCAGACTGGAGTGGGGTGGTGCCAGACGGCAGCCAGATTGGCAGGCATCATCTCGCCTCTGATTGGTCTCTTGGACAAGTACCACCCCTCTATCCCCGTGGTGATATTTGGCAGTGCAGCCGTGGCTGGTGGACTCCTTGCTTGCTTGCTTCCGGAGACGTGTGGCAAGGAACTCCCGGATTGCATGGATGACATTGCACACTATCAGAGGCAAGTCTTGGGGTGGTTCGGAAGACTTGTGCATTTATTTATTCCCTTGCCCTTTTTTTACCTGGTTGTGCTTCCTGGCTGTGTGGAGTCCAGAAGGCAGCTAACCGCTTCCATTAAAACAATGCAATGCTAAAGCAACAGTGTTGGGTGATTTTAAAACACTGTTTTGCGCCTGCCAAGGGCCAAGCAATTGTTTACAGTCATTTATACATATGGTTAGGGGACGCGGATGGCGCTGTGGGTTAAACCACAGAGCCTAGGACTTGCCGATCAGAAGGTTGGCGGTTCAAATCCCCGCGACGGGGTGAGCTCCCATTGCTCGGCCCCAGCTCCTGCCAACCTAGCAGTTTGAAAGCACGTCAAAGTGCAAGTAGATAAATAGGTACCGCTCCGGCGGGAAGGTAAACGGCGTTTCCGTGCGCTGCTCTGGTTCGCCAGAAGCGGCTTAGTCATGCTGGCCACGTGACCTGGAAGCTGTACGCCAGCTCCCTCGGCCAGTAAAGCGAGATGAGCGCCGCAACCCCAGAGTCGGTCACAACTGGACCTAATGGTCAGGGGTCCCTTTAACCCTGTACATACATATGGTTAATTGAACTGGTTATCAGAAGAGAAGGTTGACTTTTGAGGTTTTTACTGTCACTTGGGAATCTCAGGGCTATAGATCGCTTGGTTACTCTGCCTCTTGGGCTGCTTCACACGTGCATTGCTGTTGCTCAAGGTCCACAATATTGAGGGTTTGCTTGCATGTGCAGATGAGCTGTCACAGACCTAATGCCACAAACAGATCTCGTGTCTCAGCCGATCATGCAGTTTCCAGGGCAGAAGGTCCACTTGTTTGCCTTCTATTAACTTACATGAATGTGTGCCTTGATGAAAGGCAAGTGATCTTCAATAACTGTGGCTGAATTGCACATGTTAGGCATCATCTGACATTGCAACCATCAGTGCTAATGTGGCGTCACCTGAATGGGCTGGGAAAGGCTGTGTCTGAAACCCCGGAAAACTGCTGCAAGTCAGAACAGACAATATTAACCTACATGGACCCAAAACCATGACGAGAGCCAGTGTGGTGTAGTGGTTAAGAGCGGTAGTCTTGCAATCTGGGGAACCGGGTTCGTGTCTCCGCTCCTCCACATGCAGCTGCTGGGTGACCTTGGGCTAGTCACACTTCTCTGAAGTCTCTCAGCCCCACTCACCTCACAGAGTGTTTGTTGTGGGGGAGGAAGCTAAAGGAGAATGTTAGCTGCTTTTAAGACTCCTTAGGGTAGCGATAAAGCGGGATATCAAATCCAAACTCATGACTCTGTGTGAAGCAGCTTCTGTGAACCAATTCCTAGGTTTGCTTGATGCACCTGCCATTCAGAATCATTTGGAGCAGAAAACGTATGCATGAATTTAATCATCTCCTTTTAACCTTCTTTCCCCTCCATAGGCCCAGCAAAAGAATCAACGGTAGTTTGAGAAATGCGTGTTTAAAACCGAATGAAGAGATTACTGAACGGATAGCAATAACTCGCCTTTAACCCACCGTGTGGATTGCTCCAAGGTGCCAAGAAGAATGTGTGAATTTCCTCCCCTCCCACTCTGAGCCCAGCAGATAAAAATATGTGGTTTAAATATTTTGTTTTTTAAAAAGTGGTTTTAAAATGAAAATGAAAATAAAAAATCAATTCTATTACGTGCCCCTTAAAATAACTTGGTTTGAAAGATCTGAATGTAATATGAGCAGATTAAAAGCATACACTCAGGTTTAAAAGAACATCGATAATCTTAGGATGGATCTGGTTGTGCTTCTTACGGAATAGCTGCAGTGCAAATTTAGGGTGCAGTTCTATGCTCACACATATATGGGAGTAAATCCCTTTGGACTCAATGTAGGATGTCTAGAAAACATCAGAATCAGCATTGTATCAAGCCAGACCTGGAGATGCTAGGGATTGAACCTGACACCTTCTGCATACACAGAATCATAGAATTGTAGAAGGGTCCCACGGGTCATCTAGCCCAACCCCCTGCAAAGCTGCAATCTCAGCTACAGCATTCATGACAGAGGGCTATCTAACCTCTCCTTAAAAACCATTGCACTCTCTCTTTTTCTTTTTTACAGCTGGTGGATTATTAGCTTTAAATTGTTTTATTGTTTCAAAATGCTGTACTTGTAGTGTCCGATGTTCTCCCCAGCATGAGAATTTGCTGGGATGGAATGTTTTAGGGTTGTAAATACTCTTGTGAAACGAATATGTGAAATAGTTGAGTGTTTCTCTTATCAGGAGACCTCTGTAGCTTTGCAAGTCTGTGGGAAGTGATCTGCTGGTCTCAGCTTTATCATTGTACTTGAAAGTTCCAGCGTACCTGAGGAAAACAGGTTTGCACGTACGCATTTGTTTTGTACAGTTTCCATAGCTAAATGTCTGAAAAAGCTTTAGCTATAATGGGGGAAGACGGCAACTTTCTGAAACCTAAGAAACACAGGCCATAACTTATAACTGTTACATAGTCAAGACACACCAATATAACATGTCTGTCCTGAGAAGTATTCAGGTACACTCCAGGCAAAAAAAGTTCCTCTATAACCAAACTTTTGGCTGATTAAACCATCGATGTCCTTCTAATGGTGTTTGTAGAAGGGGGGGGGGTATTTGTTTGCTGTTGTTGTTATGTTATGTTATGTATTTTGTGTTTCTATTTTGTATTTTTAGGCTATAAACCAGCCTATGATGTTTGTATGAAAGGCAGTATCTGAATGAATCAAATAATTAAATGGATAATAGTTTGAGCCATTGGCATTGTGAATACATACTGGTGGAATACAGGGTTTTTAAAAGGCAGATACCCCTTTAAAACCCAAAATGAACACAAAGCATGATTTGCCCCTTCCTTACATACTATATATGAGAGGTGGTTTCTCCATGAGAGTCAGCCATTCATTCCGTAACCAACAGGACAATCCAATGTAACTTTCCAACTAAGTGACACTTGGATGTCCCTGAAAGGTACCTAAGTGTAAATATTTTTATTGAAGGGTTTTCTGAACACACAAATAACAAATATCAACATAAGACAGAATCATAGTACTTTTGCTGTTCACTGTGAAATCCAGTAGATTAAGCCATAGGTCTTCATGGGTTGATGGGGGTACTTATGGTGTGACTACACCTGTTAACATACGAAATAACTAAAAACAAAAAGGTGTCAGAGCCATCTGTTTTTATATTCCTGTTAATTTTTCAGCTAAACCAATTTGCCAAATGTTTGTGTGCCACCTGGATAATGTTAACCTGAGACCAGTTTTCAAGTGGTCGCTTATCAGCTAATGAGCCGTCACCATCAAACATCTACTTAAGTCCTTGTAAGGAACATCAGCATTTTTGATTATAAAATAGAAGCAACGATGCTAGTTGAGGTGTACTCTGAAGCTTGCAATGTACTATGTTACTAGTCTCTTCAAATGGTGTTTGCCGGAACTGATATATTATGGTGCGGTTCCACCACATATGATCCTTAAAATCATCTATTTATTTCAGCTGCCTTGTCAAACTTGTGCTGCCAAAACTGGTACCTCTCTAACACTGGGTTTCTCTGGTAAGCACAACTTAAGGTAAAGGTAAAGGGACCCCTGACCATTAGGTTCAGTCATGACCAACTCTGGGGTTGTGGCGCTCATCTCGCTTTATTGGCCGAGGGAGCCGGCGTACAGCTTCTGGGTCATGTGGCCAGCATGACTAAGCCGCTTCTGGCGAACCAGAGCAGCGCATGGAAACACCGTTTACCTTCCCGCTGGAGTGGTACCTATTTATCTACTTGCACTTTGACATGCTTTTGAACTGCTAGGTTGGCAGGAACAGGGACCGAGCAACGGGAGCTCACTCCGTCACGGGGATTTGAACCGCCGACCTTCTGATTGGCAAGTCCTTGACTCTGTGGTTTAACCCACAGTGCCACCCGCGTCCCACAAGCACAACTTAGCTGGTCCATTTTACACTTCAGGGTTTGTGCCTGCCAGCAATGAAATCTCAAACAGCAGCGGTTTGCAGCCCTTGAGTGTTTATTCTCCTTGCTCAGCCCTGGTTCTGCTACGTTCTTACGCTGATGATTCCCAGCTACTTCTGTGTCAGTTTAGAAAAATATAAAGGAACAGTCCCTGACTCTTTCCTCAGGGTCTTTAGGTTTCTTGTCCTTCCTTCTCCCAATCTTCCTCTCTCCTTTTATAGCAAGCTCAGAGAGACTCCAGGCTGTCAGCTGCTAGGCCAAACAGACTGGACGCTGGACCAAATAAAACCCAGCAAAAAAGACTTGAAGCCAACACCCCTCGCTCATTTTTGTCCTGCAACAAACAATATTTAAATGGCCCCCTCTTGTTGCTATAACTCATCTAAGGTTGCATACCTGCACACTGTACATTTAAAGCACAGTCTCTCTCATCACCCCAAGAACCCTGGGTAATGTTGTTTGTTAGATGTGCTGGGGATTTTAGCATTATTGGGGGTAAACTACAGTTCCCACGATCCTTTGCAGTGTTCTAAATGTTTGGTGTGGACGCAGCCGTACATGTTAATAGCTTCGAGGCTCACTTTCTTTTTAATTGGAGGAAATACTAAAGTCAAAGGAACACCAGGACTGAATAAGAAGAGAACAATCAGAAAGAAAGTATAGCCTTGGCAGTAGCTGTGATAGGATATATTCCTTAAGTTTATCCGATGCCAGAGCCTGATTAATTATTCACTTAATCCATAGCCATGATTGTGTTTAAACATTAATTTCAGTCCCCAGGTGTGAGAACCATGCAGACCGGCTGCCAAAGATCCCAGAATGATCAGTTTTGGAGACATCTTGAAGGTGATCGGAGAATTCGGCAGGTTTCAGAAATGGCTGGTGGTGCTGAACTGCATCCCCAATTTCCTAATTCCCTTTCACGTGTTCGGACAAGTGTTCATTGTCATGGACGTGCCTCACTACTGCAACACGAACTGGATCCTGAATATTACCCAAAACCTGACCCAAGAGCAGCAGCTGAACTTGACCGTTCCCAGGAAACCAGATGGCTCTTTTGAGGAATGCTCCATGTTTACTCCTGTGGAAGGCGATATCGATTCAATCATAAAAGACGGACGAAATTCCACGGAAGCCTGCCGAGATGGTTGGGTCTACCCCACCGATCCAAAGCCATCGTTGCTGACAGAGGTATTTTACAGCCCTTCTTAAATAATTTGACTCTGTCTCTCCTGAAGGGTGTGTGCATGCGCGCACATCAATTGCTAACCATACTAGACAACTCTAAAGTGATTTCATTGGTGCTGTCCCTACAACTAAAAACCTGGATAGGGGAACGGACAGGTCAGGGAATGCTTTTGGAAAAAAAGCCAGTGAAGTCGGGCTTAAAAAGAAGAGACCATTACAGTTTAAGGATTATGAAATTTATATTAATTCTCTATGTAAGGCGCGACTGATGGTACTTTCACTATGGTTCATTTTGTCCTTTTTTGTTGTGTGTTGAGCAAACAAGCAAGCAAGCAAGCAAACAAACAAACGAATGAATGAATGAAAAGAAAAAACAAAACCAGTGAGCCTATGATAAAGTGCCAAAATGTGGATAGATTAGTGGCATTCCTCTTCTTTTAATCCAGATTTTACATATCATGGGATAGTTATCCTGAAGCTCTTGGATGTTGAAGCCTTATTGGATGGTGTGCTTATTTAATCCCCATTCTTATTTTCTGAATCTGATTGCTGCAAGTATGAAACTCCACTGTCTGGGAGATAATAAATTATTATTATTATTATTATTATTATTATTATTAACCAGATTTTGAAGCAGGGAGACAATTCAAAGAGTCCAGAGAGAGAGAGGAAAAGACGTCATATCGTCATTCCAGAACTTTACAGCAATGGATGTCAATAGTCCATGTTTCTTAAAGACAATTGCTTGTTAATTGTCTAGGTCTCAGTTGATAACTTTTAAAGAAATTAATGGCTTCAGCCTGTATTCCTCAAGTATACTTTGCAGTTGTAGGAATTCTCCCTGCTTCCGGTTTCCCTGGTTTCCATTTTGTGAGGGAAACTCAGCATTAATGAGGTAAAAAAATAACAAGGCTCGAACGTTTAAACTGCTGTATGATCTTTTTTGGCTGGGATACAATTTTTATACTGTGGTAATAAGGATTACCTTTAATAAAGAGATTATGCCAGATCGCACATTTACCAAATGTGAGGCCTTGTAGGTCATGAGGAAGTCCTCTAACCATTTTGACACCTCTGTGAGGTAACGAGAAAGTTTTATTAATTTTTCTCTAATTCCCACGTGAGATAAATTTGGAATATTAGAGGCAGAAATGTCCCATTTTCAGAGGCTCTCCTGAAAGCTACTAGCAAATGTTCATCTGTTTGTTTATGAAGATATTGCCATGTCACTTTTCATTTTTCTCTCCCCCCCAGCATTTTATTTATTTATTAAAATTCTTATGTTACATCAGTAAACATTATCATATTACATCACAAGGCTTATTATACTATATTTTTCAACATGTATACAAAGTGTATATGCTAAAAGAAAGAAAAAGAAAAAAGGACAAAAAACTATTCAAAAATCATATATGTACCACACTTTGGACTTCCTGTCTATCCCGTTGTATATTCCTTTTTTACAAATGAATGTACTCTTATTATTGTATTTACATTTTATTTGTATTTACATTTTATCTAGTACATTCCTATATCAATATATATCCTTGGTCTTATTTCTCAACTCAGTCTCTCTCCAATGTCAGTCAAATGCCAGCTTAGATAGTGCACCTTTACTGTATTTTTGAACATATATATATCCCACTTTTCCATAAATTTTTGTTTTGAGTTGCCTCTCAGGCTATTTGTCAACTGTGCCATTTCAGCAAATTCTTGTAGCTTGTTATGCCAATCCGTTATTGTCCATGTCACTTTTCAACTGAGCCTTGCAAGGCAGTTTATATAGGAATATGCATAAATTAGCACTCTGTTAAAAAACAGCCAAAAAAGGGAGACTTTTTAAAAACTAGAAATCGCCTTCCCTCAGGGAGGAGGATGTTTCAGTTTTCAGATTTGGTGGCAGTTAGGGGAGAGAACACCTGAGCTGGAACAAGATGGCGGCTCTTCTGTCTCTCCTCTCCACAGGGGACAATTCTTTTTGAGCATTCTGGAATTTCCCCAAAGAGGGGATTATTATTATTATTATTATTATTATTATTATTATTATTATTATTATTATTATCATCATCATCTTGCCCTACTTCCCAAAGGAGCCCAGGATGGCAAATAACAACTCAATAATTTTTTTAAAAGGGGAAAAAAACCCCACACCAAATACCCTCTCAAGTTCAGAAAAACAATGACTTTCCACCACCAAATGCCTGGAGCTAACGGGAATGTTTTAAAATTCTGCCTCATGGAAGAAATTCTAAGATTATTTGGTTAAATATGTTAAGATAAATTAAATAGAACTACTTGTGAGTATCAGATTGGCCTAGGATATAAATATGTGATAATGTAGAATACTATGGATATAAGTCAAAATGAAAAGAAAGAAAGAGGTTAATTGGACTAAGTAAATTTTATGTGAAAGTAGTCTTGGAAAACTGCTACAATGATTTATATGGAAACTCAGCCAAGGGGATTCGAGGAAGTCACCCAACAATGATAACAAAAGTGGAATTGCTACAGTTAGGGTATATGTTTGTTTGTTTGTTTTTTAATGTCTTATTTTTATGTTTGTGGATATGTCTGTTATAAATTTGGAAAACTAATACATTATTTTTTTAAAAAAAATAATAATTCTGCCTCAGCACTAATAATGAGGGTGAGGAGATTCACCTCACCAGGGAAGGTATTCTTGTAAGTGAGGGGACTTGACCAAGGTGGGGTAAAATTTGAGTCCACCCTTCAGCATAAGGCCCAGGGCGGGTTAAAGCAATAAAATGGTATACATTATGAAAGCAAGTGAAACAGTTAAATTTTTAAAAAGAGCAGGCTAATACTATTCAAACAAAACCAGAAACAGTGTAGATTTGTGATATACTGTACACAATGCAGTGTCAGGAGAGGGAAGTACAAGGATTTTTCTTCTTCTGAAGGGTGTGTGCATGCGCGCACATCAATTGCTAACCATACTAGACAATCTAAATGATTTCTGGTGCTGTCTAAATATAAAACTGGATAGGGGAACGGACAGGTCAGGGATGCTTTTGGAAAAAAGCAGCAGTGAGAGTGGCTTAAAAAGAAGAGACCATTATACAGTTATAGAGATGTATATAATAAATTAATTTTTATAGCCGAGGACTGATGGTACTTTCACTATGGTTCATTTTGTCCTTTTTTGTTGTGTGTTGAGCAAACAAGCAGAGCCGAGAGCGCACACTCGAGACTGCAGTTATGACTTCGGGACCACACAAATCCAGTGGTGACTTACGACAGTCTACCATTCACTCAATAGATAGATTGTTAGGGATTTTTTTACGCTCGAGGGATTCCTCTTCTTTTCTCAGATATATGCGCATATATAAGAGGATAAGCTTTATCAGTGGAAAGATGATGGGTTCGTTATTGAGCTCGAGAGTAAATATTGGCTGGTGTGAGCTGCGTTATTGGGACTGGTGTGCTTGGATTATAGTACTCTGTATATATATAATTAAGAATACCTGAATTATAGATGGTTATATAGACTCCAGTTTTCTGAGAAGATTACAGTATATCTATAATTCATTCTGTGATTTATGAGTATTGCTTTCTGTAATGATAGTAGTGGCAGTTATATAGATAAGATAGCCACGCGCGCACACGTGTTTACTCCTGTGGAAGGCGATATTGATTCAATCATAAAAGACGGACGAAATTCTACAGAAGGCTGCCAAGATGGTTGGGTGTACCCCACAGATCCAAAGCCGTCGTTGCTCACTGAGGTGAGTATAGGACATTCCTTGTTAACAAAACATGGTTCTGTCTCTTCTGAGGTAGATGCGTTTGTGTTTGTGTCACATGCGATTTGTACGAGACAGCTTTAAAGCGATTTCAACATTGGTATTCACCTGCTATCCCTACAGTTAAAGATCTGGATAGCGAAACTGACAGGACAGGAAATGACTTGTGGATAGACTAGTGGTAATCGCCTTCTTTAAGTCTTTTAGCTGCCAGATTGTATAAAAGATCAAAGTGGTGTACCACAATGCACATATAAGCACTACAAAACATAAGAACAATACAAAATAATTATTGCAATGAGTGGCCAGCCAAGGGGATAATTGTTTTGACATGCATTTTGATATGCAACTTTATCTCAAGAGGTAAAAATTTTAAACTACTGGTTTTATTTTTTGGGGGGAAATAGGCTAGCTTCTTTTTAACATCTCATTTTTATCGGCAATTTTAATATATAATTTACGTGTGATGGAAACCGCTTAGAGGTTTTGATAATAATGTGGTATATAAAGCCCCAGCTAATTAACTGGGCTACGATTTGTGTCCATTCTTAGCCAGGAGTTCCCAGGGTAGGTTATAACAATAACATTGTACACTTGATTTCTTTATTTTTTTTTTTTTTTTAATAAAATATTTTTATTGGGTTTTCACATTTTATATAGACAAAAACACAACATATAACATCAAAACAAACATAAAAGACAACAAACATGTATAGTTCCCGAAAATCTTATTTTCTAACCCTAGTCCTTGACTTCCCCCCACCCCCCTCCCTTGCATCCCTCTTCCCAAATTTATGTCAGCAAATTGGCATTTCCTTCTCCGTCTTAATATTAATCCTTTTATAAAAACAAAAATAAATTTTCCCTAAGTTGGACCCCAATTCTCTTCCCTCGATTTCTCATTTTTTCTTGAATAATTTTCTTATTAACTAAACCCCCTGGTCTTGAGTGTTGTTTAAATTTAAATGCTTCCCTCCCTCCCATTCCCGCTTTGCGTCCTTTCCCAAGACATGTCCAAAATAACATTTTTTAGCCTGGGTTCCGCACGTCCAAAGCTCTCAACTCTCTTTCAGTCCCTCTCCGCCGGTTTTGTTGGTAGTCCTTTTTGTCGGTCATCGAGTCTCGAAAGATTTCCTTAACAATCAATCCAATCAATCCATAGTCTCTTCCCATATTTAGAAACAACTGCTGAGGAATTTCCGCAAGGCCTAAGTCTTGGTGATAGTCAAAATCAAAGTCTATGTGGAGGCCCCAATTGTACTTCTTTATTTCAAGCTCCTGAATTCCATAGACTTCCAGGGCTTCCTCTTTCGTCTTCTGTATCTTTCGTAGGCTTAAAATGGAGTTACTCCAATAGTCTCCTTGCTTGTGTTCTCCAAATGCCGGCTTCTGGTTAGTATTTTCCCACATAACTTGTTCTCTTTCATGTTTTGTCTTCTCCTCTTCTTTGTTTATTATTTCGAATTCAGCTGTGGGTTCTTTCTCACTCTGGTCTTCATTACATTCAGCAGAACTACTTGTTTCCAAATTCAAGGTCATCAATTGTTTACTCATAACTATAGTCTGCTCCTGTAAAGTTCCCACCAGTGAAAACATCCTTTCGATTTCTCTCAGTATCTTTCCACCCACAGCCATTGTAATTCCACCGAATTCCCCCTAGAGGGAATCTGATTACTTGGACTTTTCTCCAACAATCCTCTGTCCTGTTATTGTTTCTTTGTTTCCCACAATTTTAATTCAATTGTAACTCCTTTTAATCCGGAGAGGTCTTAAATAGCAATTTTTCCACTGTTAACAGTCCATTTGACAGCTTTGACAGCTGTCAAATTCTGCTCCTCTATACAGGCTCCAAAGCAGGTCACTCCCGGGCCCGGGAGGAAGGGTTGTTTGCCACAAAACAAAGACTCTTCCAACACTCCACTCTCCTACTCAAATTTGCCTTTCCAAATCTTGGAAGTTACTGTCTTTTTAGAACTCACCCTTTGCAGGGTAGGCACTCCAGCTTAGCTCTTATATCGTTGCTCTGGATCGTCTGCAAGGGGGGTGGGTGGGGACTTCCTTTTGGCACACCCCCCGGTCGTCTCAAATTCAGAAGGTAAAAAATTTTTAAAGTTCAGTTCCAGGTTACTCACGGGTTCTTTTTTTCCAGTCCAAATTTCAAGGAAGGAAGTCAGCGCTCTCCAGTTATGGCTCGCGGCTTCGCTCAGCGGCGGTAGCGATCGACTCTCAGTGCCGCGCCGTCCCCCGTATCCCCTCCATAGCCTTTAAAAAGGCTCTTCGCGAATCAGGGGGGGCGCTTAAGGCACCCGCCGAGTCTTCAGTCCGCAGGCATCCGCGCCTGCGGTTTTTAAGGGTCCCCGTGTCGCCGGCACGGCAAAGACCCATCCACCGCTGAGCCGATTCCCTCCGGAGCTCGGAGGGAATCCGCCATTCCCAGATCGCGCCAACCCGGAAGTCTGATTTCTTTATTTTTAAAGTGAAACAGTTAAAAATGATTTTAAAAACACAGGTTGGAACCATTCAGAATAAAACAGTGTACAGTGGTACCTCGGGTTACATACGCTTCAGGTTACAGACTCCGCTAACCCAGAAATAGTGCTTCAGGTTAAGAACTTTGCTTCAGGATGAGAACAGAAATCGTGCTCCAGCGGCACAGTGGCAGCAGGAGGCCCCATTAGCTAAAGTGGTGCCTCAGGTTAAGAACAGTTTCAGGTTAAGTACAGACCTCCGGAATGAATTAAGTACTTAACCTGAGGTACCACTGTATAGTGGAGTAGAGACAGATCTCACAAGGCAAAACACCTGAGCTGTCGAAGGCCAGGTGAACTGTACAGGGAAGATGGGAGACACACCTTCTGTGGGGAGGGAGTTCCCCAGTTCTGCCACCTAGAATGACCTCTTCCAGGCTGTGGCTCCCTTGCTTTTGGGAGATGGTAGAGACGTGGCGCTGTGGGTTAAACCACAGAGCCTAGGACTTGCCGATCAGAAGGTCGGCAGTAAGCACGTCAAAGCACAGGTAGATAAATAGGTACCGCTCCGGCGGGAAGGTAAACGGCGTTTCCGTGCGCTGCTCTGGTTCACCAGAAGCGGCTTAGTCATGCTGGCCACATGACCTGGAAGCTGTACGCCGGCTCCCTCGGCCAATAAAGCGAGATGAGCGCCACAATCCCAGAGTTGGCCACGACTGGACCTAATGGTCAGGGGTCCCTTTACCTTTACGAGACTCCAAGAGAACTCCCTTTGATGCTCAGCACCTGAGAGGATCCTTAAGGATGTCTGTATTCAGATTTTTCTGAGGACTGGAGTGTCTTGGACTATGGAGCAATTAAATGTCAGGGCTCCAGGACCCTAAGAAATTGAGGAGTGAAGTGGCTCTCCCTTAGCCTCTCTCACACACATCACACACACACACACACACAGAGAGAGAGAGAGAGAGAGAGAGAGAGAGAGAGAGAGATCCATGGTTTTCAAACTTCCTTCCCTTTGGAGATCTTTTCTACACTGACGTGTCTCCCATGGTCCTTTAGAAACACCCACCCTCCAATATTTTCTGTCCCCCAAACTGGGACATCAGGAGGGATGCACTCTGGCCATCATCATCAGGGTCGTGCCAGAGCGCTGGACCAAAAAACAGGACATTCCGGGATCCAGCGAGAAGCTGGGATTGGTTTCTGTGATTTGGGATGTCCTACTTAAAACAGGAAAAGGGACGTGGGTGGCGCTGTGGGTTAAACCACAGAGCCTGGGACTTGCCGATCAGAAGGTCGGCGGTTTGAATCCCCACGACGGGGTGAGCTCCCGTTGCTCAGTCCCTGCTCCTGCCAACCTAGCAGTTTGAAAGCACGTCAAAGTGCAAGTAGATAAATAGGTACCGCTCCGGCGGGAAGGTAAATGGCATTTCCGTGTGCTGCTCTGGTTCTTCAGAAGCGGCTTAGACATGCTGGCCACATGACCCAGAAGCTGTGCGCCGGCTCCCTCGGCCAATAAAGCGAGATGAGCACTGCAACCCCAGAGTCGGCCACGACTGGACCTAATGGTCAGGGGTCCCTTTACCTTTACCTTACTTAAAACAGGCCACTTGGAATATGACGGAATTGTAGGGTGACTTCTAGAGTGCATTTTCAGGGTCACACGGCATGCCCAGCATTCCCTGAAGCAAGAGTCACCCACATTGTGCCCGTGGGCATAATGAAATCCTTCAGATCTTCCCTTGGCACCCATTAAGACTGTGTTAGCCCTGCCCCCTTGCACATGAGATGGTGAGGCGTGTGTGAGTTACCTTTTCCTCCCTTGAAAAGTACGTAAATCTGGAGGAGGAAGAGTGGAGTTTTTTCCCTACTTCCTCTGGAAATGCAAAGTGTGTGTTTGCATACTTTCTCGCCTTCTGACTTTCAGAGTGGGGGGCGTGATCTGGGGAAGAGAAGTGACCAGAGGGAGTGATGCTCACAGCACTCACTCAGAAATCCCAATGCGCACCCCCCCTTGCCATACGTCCGGGTTTTCCAGGACATTTTGCCCAATCGGCCAAAATCCGCCCGGATGCCATTCTGATGATGATGATGATGATGATAATAATAATAATAATAATAATAATAATAATAATAATAAAAATAATTATTTATGCCCCACCCATCTGACTGGGTTTCCCCAGCCACTCTGGGCGGCTTCCAACTGAATATTAAAAACAATACAGCATCAGACATTAAAAACTTCCCTAAACAGGGCCACCTTCAGTTGTCTTTTAAAAGTAAAATAGTTGCTTATTGTCTTGACATCTGCTGGGAGGGCGTTCCACAGGGCAGGTGCCACTACCAAGAAGGCCCTCTGCCTGGTTCCCTGTAACCTGGATTCTCGCAGTGAGGGAACCGCCAGAAGGCCCTCGGAGCTGGACCTCAGTGTTTGGGCGGAACGATGGGGATGGAGACGCTCCTTCAGATATACTGGACCGAGGCTGTTTAGGGCTTTAAAGGTCAGCACCAACACTTTGAATTGTGCTCGGAAACGAACTGGGAGCCAATGAAGATCTTTCAGGACTTGTTGGCCGCTCCCAGTCACCAGTCTAGCTGCCGCATTCTGGATTATTTGCAGTTTCCTAGTCACCTTCAAAGGTAGCCCCACATAGAGCACATTGCAGTAGTCCAAGCGAGAGATAACGAGAGCTGCCCGAATCCCGGTCGTGTCTGGGAAAATCTGGACATTTGGCAGCCTTAACCTAGTCCAATTCCCTACAATGCAGGAATATGCAGTTGTCCCATATGGGGCTCGAACCAACAACCTTGGTGTTTTCAGCACCTCGCTCTAACCAACAGAGCTACCTAGTATTATTTTTCTCCTGAACTTGGCTGACCTAGGTGACTTAAGGAAAACAGGTCGAATTATGAGGAGCGCTGCTTGTAATTTAAGAATCATAAAGTTAGTCAAATTAAGAAAATACACCATGCAGTGCGGGGAGATGGAAGGAAAAGGCGTTTTCTTCTTCTTTCCCTTTAGTTCAACTTGGTCTGCGACCGAAAGGACTTAAAAGACATCTCTCAATCCATTTACATGTCAGGTCTTCTTGTGGGAGCTTTGGTCTTTGGCCCACTGAGCGACTGGTAAGCATAACTTTTGAGATTTCATGTTGCGGCTGAGAGAAAATGGCCACCACCTGCAGTTGGTGAACAGGGGAGGTATTTCAGTCATTTAGAGGGAGGGGATTTGCCCACAACTTTGAGGCTGTTTACCTATTATATTTATTGAACACTTGTTTTGGATGAAGAAGGTCCCAGATCCAGTCATCTCCAGCTGGTTGCTGGCAATGCAGTTTCCCCTCTTCCACTTTTCCGTTTAATAACAACAACCAAGTTTCTGGTCCTCAAGGCTTTTCAAATGTATGGGCATTGCCTGGTGGAAGATTGGGTTGTTTTTATTTTTGTTATGTATTTTGTGTTTTTATTTTGTGCTTTTGTGTTGTAACCACCCTGAGGCCTGTGACTATAGGGCGGTGTACCAATTTAATTTTAAGAAAAGATGGCAGAGAAGGAGTTTCATTGCTCTGCTTAGCTCCTTGCACTTTCTATGTGCCTTTGCGAAAAAAAACATTTCCTGTTCTTCCAGTTGTACACTGGAACGCCCAGTCAGAGGAGTGTGGGCAGCGATTCTCAGGGTGTGCCTGAGAGGCAAAACATATTTCTAGAAGAAGCAAGGGCAAGACAGAACCCACTGCTGATACTTTATGAAGAAATGGATCCACTATGACCTTAGTGAACTGGCCCGTCAGTTTAGCTTAGATTACCTCAGGTAGCTTTGGACAGCAACTAAGGTAGCACCATCAGCTAAATGCACTGCACTTCAAAATATAGTAAAGGTTGTGTTTTTGTGCTGGTGGGTTTCACCTGTTCAGCTCCTGTTGTTGCTGTTGTTAAAATTTATATACCGCCCCTTGTCTGAGGATCACAGTGTAGTGTACAATATAAAGGATTGTATAAAGGATATAGATCCTCGTCTGAGGATCACAGGGCAGTGTACAATATAAAAACACAAAAATATGAAACACAGTAACAAACAAAGAACAATAACCCCATAGTTAATAAGATGGTTCAATTAGCCCAAGGCCTGGTTGCAGAGGAACGTTTTCACCCGGCACCTAAAGGTGTATAATGAAGGCACCAGGCGAGCCTCTCTGGGGAGAGCATTATGCAAATGGGGAGCCACCACAGAAAAGGCCCTGTTCTCGTGTTGCTGCCCTCCAGACCTCTTGTGAAGGAGGCACCTGAAGAAGGGCCTCAGATGATGGTCTCAAGATAAGAGCGGGTCATATACAGAGAGGGAGTCCTTCAGGTGTTGCATTCCTGAGCTGTTTAAGGCTTTATAGCTCAAAACAAGCACTTTGAGTTGGAAACTAATTGGTGGCCCGTGCAGTTTGGCCAGGATTGGCGTTATAGTTTCAAGCCATCTTACCCCGGTGAGCAACCTGGCCACCAAATTCTATGCCAGGTGAAGCTTCCAAACCATGTTCAGAGGCAGTCCCACATATAATGTTTTGTGGTAATCTAACCCAGAGGTTACTAGAGCATGGGCGACAGAGGTTAACCTATCCCTGCCCATGAGCCGCAGCTGAAGGAAGGCACTTTGCAACACCAAGGCCACCTGAATGCAGAAGTACCCAAAACTCGCATGCCTGCTTCTTCCAGCTTGAGCTGCTGCGTGGAGCTTCTCTCGCTGTTTAGTTATGCTGCACTAAAATCAGGTGGTGTTTGAAGGCCCGGTTATCTGTTGTTTTCTCCCAGAATCTTAACACAAGAAGAAATTGCATGACACATTTATATGCCTTGAATCTGAAAGGCTCTCCGGGGGTCCTGTGGCACACCTTAAATGAGGTAGAGTTTGCAGAGCTGGATTGAGATGTGCTGACCCCCCCACCCCAGCTATGTCAGGTTCAAATGGCCTCAAAGCCTTCCAAAAATATATTTTTTTAATGTGTATAAGAACAGAAAGGACAACAAAATTAATAAAACTTCTTAATTTTTTAAAAAAAAACAAATTTTCATCAGTTTTTAAACAAATACAATCAGCATCAAACACTTACCCAGCAGTAGAGCTAATGGTGTTTGTTTTATCCATTGTCTCTAGACATATTAAAACTTCTTTTTTTGCATTATGTACTGAATCATAGGTGAGGATGCGACTAAAAACGAGCAAAAGCATCTATCTTGCAATAAGCCACTATGGATATAGAACACATTTTGAATGAAAATACCTCATGGGTTTCTCGCCTAGCAGATAGGAAAGCTTTTCATGTACAGCAACACAAGAGGGCAGGATGAGACCCCTGTGGGAGAGCCACTTGCGGTCAGCGTTGACAGCACTGAGCTACATGGCCCAGGGGTCTGATTCAGTATAAGACAATTCCTATGTTCCTGTGAGGTGCAAGTTCTGAGCTCCCTCACGCATTTCATTTCCCTCCTCCAGGATCGGAAGCCAACGGATGATCTGCTCACCCTCCTCCTCATGGGTGCCTTTGGTGTCGGGGCAGGCTTTGCGCCAAATTTCTACCTCTACATCGCCTTGAGATTCATCGTGGGCGCTGCTTTTGCCGGGATCAGTATCAGCATGGCAGCGTTAAGTAAGACACTTCAGCTTCTCTAGAGAAGTTCAGGCCTTGTCATCCAAAAAAAAAATAAAAAATCAGCCTTCTCCAATTGGGGTCTTCCACGTGCTTTAGACTACAACAGTGATGTGAGCCGAAGTCCAAAACATCTGGATAAAAGGTGAAGGGACCCCTGACCATTAGGTCCAGTCGTGACTGACTCTGGGGTTACGGCGCTCATCTCGCTTTGTTAGCCGAGGGAGCTGGCGTACAGCTTCCGGGTCATGTGGCCAGCATGACTAAGCCGCTTCTGGCGAGCCAGAGCACCGCATGGAAACGCCGTTTACCTTCCCGCCGGAGTGGTACCTATTTATCTACTTGCACTTTGACGTGCTTTCGAACTGCTAGGTTGGCAGGAGCTGGGACCGAACAACGGGAGCTCACCCCGTCGCAGGGATTTGAACCACCGACCTTCTGATTGGCAAGTCCTAGGCTCTGTGGTTTAACCCACAGCGCCACCCACGTCCCTTAAAACATCTGGATAGCAAATGCCAATTCATCTAGCCCTGTAATGCAGGAATCTTGCCCACCGCAGTCCTTGGCTGGACTCGAACCACCAACTTTCTGGTTAACAGCTGGACGCACTGACCCATTGCGCCAGCTGACAAATGTGTGGATGAGCCCTGAGTGAGCTTCAAGGCTGTGTGGGGATTTGAACCCTGGTCTCCAAGTTCCCAGTCCAACATGCTAACCCTGGCTCTCTCAGCTAGGGAAGAAATAACCTCAGAGTCCATGTTGGGACGTGGGTGGTGCTGTGGGTTAAACCACAGAGCCTAGGACTTGCCGATCAGAAGGTCGGCAGTTCGAATCCCCGCGATGCGCGTAGTCTCCCGTTTGCTCACGCCCCCTGCCTCCTGCCACCACCCGCGCCCCAAGTTGGCAACCTATCTAAGTGTGCCACGGCCCCGACAAAATATAGGTAAGCCTCGACGTGTACCGCTTCATAGGGGTACCAACCCTAAACATGTGTTCGCCTTGTGCAATGATACATATCTCTTTAATTTCAATTGCCTGCCTCCAGTCTGAGACTTCAAACTCCATTTCCCCGGTTTCTTGACGAAAGCTTGGATCTCAGAGGTTGTTGCGAAAGAACGAGGGAGAGCGCCATCTGTTGAACGCTGCTTCTGAAATTTCCCATTTCTCCATCTGGGAAGGACAGAGAACTCTGTGCCCCCATTTAGACTGAAACACCCAGCTACTGAATGTTTTCTTGTCACAACCTACTACTGTGTTTCAGATCACTTGGCTCCCTGTCATTTTCCCCAGTCAGATTTATCCAGCCCCCAAAAGTCATTTTCATAATTATTGGCTCCTTGTTAAGGAACCAAAAGTTATCAGCTAAATGCAGATATATGAGCAAACGAAACATACTTTTTTTAAAAAAAGCGTAGTGGTGTCTAATGTCGCTGCTGCAACACAGACTGCCAGGGCATCACAATCTTGCTGTAGATGGGAATATCTGAAAAGCTTTCTCTTCCACCACAGCTCTATCCTGAATCTGAAGATCGACTCTACCAGGCATTGCAGGATCCTAATTTAGTCAGTGTTGTCTATCATTTTAGGGAGTGGAACGGGGATGGAGGAAGAGGTTGGTTGGTTTGGTTGGTTGGTTTAGAAACCGATGCTGTTTGACTTCAACTCCCCATCAACCCTTCCCAGCATGGCCAGCAGTCAGAGGTGATGGAGCTGTAGCCCATCAAAATTTGGAGAGCACCATCATTGCAATCTCTACTTTAAATAGAGATATACAATATACAGTCATACCTTGGGTTGCGAACGTGATCTGTGCGGGAGGCACGTTTGCAACCCGCAGCCGCCGCATCTGCGTGACGCAATTCAGCACTTCTGCGCATGCGCAAAGTGTGATTTAGTGCTCCTGTACATGCGCGGAGCGCCGAAACCCGGAAATAACCCATTCTGGTACTTCCAGGTTCGGCGCAGTCCGTAACCCGAAAACGCACAACCCGCAGTGTTTGCAACCCGAGGTATGACTGTAAATGACTTATTCAGAACCACTGATCTTTGTTTACATGGGCATGGAATCTGGAAATGTTTTAGGTCCGCCCACAGGGTCTCCTTTCTTTGCCAATAAATGATTGCATGGAAATGTCCTTTTCCTTAGTGAACCTTATAACAATCTCAGGAGTGCTGTTTTCACATCCACTTCTACTGAAATCTCTATACAGTGGTACCTCGGGTTAAGTACTTAATTCGTTCTGGAGGTCCATTCTTAACCTGAAACTGTTCTTAACCTGAAGCGCCACTTTAGCTAATGGGGCCTCCTGCTGCCGCTGCACCGCCGGAGCACGATTTCTGTTCTCATCCTGAAGCAAAGTTCTTAACCTGAAGCACTATTTCTGGGTTACCGGAGTCTGTAACCTGAAGCCTATGTAACCTGAAGCGTATGTAACCTGAGGTACCACTGTATATAAAATTTCAGACTCAGAGTCCTTAATTAATTGGGGTTTTCCATTTCCCACCATTCTGGATTAACCTCATACCCTCCAGCATTTCTCTGGTGAAAACAGGGAGGTCCTATTTAATAATAATAATAATAATAATAATAATAATAATAATAATAATAATGTAATAATAATAATGCCCCCAGCCACTCTGGGCAGTTTCCAACATATATCAAATAGTACAGTGGTACCTCTGGTTGCGAACGGGATCCGTTCCGGAGGCCTGTTTGCAACATGAAAAGAGCGCAACCCGCAGGGGCGCGTCTGCGAACATGCAGGTTGCGATTCGCCGCTTCTGCGCGATGGGTGTGACATCATTTCATGCTTCTGTGCATGCCCAAGCGGCGAAAACCTGGAAATAACCCTTTCCGGTACTTCCAGGTCGCCTCGGGACGTAACCTGAAAGAACATAACATGAAGAGGACGTAGCATGAGGTATGACTGTAAAACATTGCACATTTAAAAACTTGCCTATACAGGCCTGCCTTCAGACATCTGATAAAGGTTGTATAGTTACTTATCTCCTTGGTTTGGGGGTCAGATAACTCCATACCTTTCCAACATTTCTCCAATGAAAATAGGGACGTCCTTATGAAAAACGGGACATTCCGGGATCAAATCCGAAACCAGGACGGCTTCCTGTAAATCTGGGACTCTCCATGGAAAATAGGGACACTCAGAGGGTCTGTACCTGTGCAAAGCACACACACAACACACATATATGAAGTCTGAACATATCTCAATGTTCCTCTCACCATTTATTTACTTTATTTGCTTCCTGGGCTGCTGCTGGACTAATGCGACTCTCCTACAGCTGATGAGTTCCTGTTGAAAAGCTGTTCTTGCTTGAGGTTACTGGCGCTGCACATTGTAAGCTTTGAAAGAACCAACCTTGAGACAGAAGGTCAACGTGAACCGTAAGCCAGGAGAAGGAAGAATCCCAAGGCCCTTCTCTGCCTGTTGGGGAGGAAGCATCTCAAGGCAGGAAATGTTCAGGGAAACCTATTAATAACCTCGCGGGAGCAGCGTTGCCTAAGTGCACATCAGCCTGGAGAAGAGGTGCAAATGGATCTCTGTGCACAGAGCGATGGGCACAAGGCCAATGGCAATAACTGGAGCAAGTCGCCTGGAAGAGCTTTCAGGGAAGGCTCAGGCTTGGTCTTTCATTTTTACTGTAACCCTGGGGTCCCCCCCCCCCCTAAGGTGCAAAATTGTGGCTAGGAATTGAGAAACCCAGGTGCCTCCGAGCATGTGCTGAGTCCAGGAATCATAGAATGGGAGAGTTGGAAGGGACCTCAAGGGTCTTCTAGTCGAAATCCCTCTGTTTATAAAAACCTTCAAGGAGTCTGAGGGAGTCTGTTCCACTGTCAAACAGATAATAATAATAATAATAATAATAATAATAATAATAATAATTTATTTATACCCCATCCATCTGGCTGGGTTTCCCCGGCCACTCTGGGCGGCTCCCAACAGAATATAAAAAACTCGATAAAACATCAAACATTAAAAACTTCCCTGAACAGGGCTGCCTTCAGATGTCTTCTAAAAGTCAGATAATTGCTTATCTCCTTGACATCTGATGGGAGGGTGTTCCACAGGGTGGGCGCCACCACCGAGTAGGCCCTCTGCCTGGTTCCCTGTAACTTCATTTCTCGCAATGAGGGAACCGCCAGAAGGCCCTCGGAGCTGAACCGCCAGAAGGCCGGGCTGAACATGTACTCTCTAACTTCCTGCTGAAATTCTGTGACTTTTTAGAGCACCAATACTCCTCGGCATTCTGAATTATCTTTACTGTTTGGTTTAAGGGCTTTTTAGAAGCATTCTTGGTAAACTGTTACCGAACGTGATTGCCTGGACATACATCAAGGCTTAAATTTTAATTTCTCGGTGGCATCCTTCCAAGTTTGGACTTTTTGAAACAGCCAAATTTCATTCTAAAATTTGGTCCTATCTTTAACTTTAACTAATGGCACCTGGAGCTGCAACCCTGCACACACTTTCCTGAGCATAAGCCCTGCTGAACACAGCCAGATTTCTTCCCGAGTTAATATGCTAAAGGTTTCGCTGTTTCATCTTTTCAGTCCTATGTACACCAACGTCATTCCTCATCAGGCCAGCAGAGGGAGCACAGACATTACTTCTGCTAAAAGAAACTTGAGGAAGAAACCAACAAGAGGTCTAGGGCGAATGGATGCGTATATGTGGACGTTCATCATAAAAGAAGGAAGCAGAAAGAAGATGACTCAGAAATCAGAAGTGGAGCATTCTGCATTGGGAGGAATGAGGATAGATAAGGTTGTGCCTCGCTGACTTCTCCACTGCACACCTTGAGCAAGACTTGGTGGGAGATTGTGCAAAAAGCATCCACTCATTATGATATCTTAGGCTGCGGCCAGATGGCACATTTACCCCACTGGCTGACCTACAGCCCAACTGGGGGTCTGAATTCTGAAGGGCCTCTGCT